TGAACCCCGATATCAGCTGCACGTGCGTGAAGGTTTTACGCGCCTGCTGAACAGGAAGCCTTTGTGCTCGTCTTGGAAGCCTAATCGCCCCAAATTACACAAATTACATCTCCTTCTGAATTGCACAACAGGATCTCAGAGTGTCAAGGCTCTCATTCTCTCCCCGCCGCTCCCATTGGCTGCAGAGTGGTGGTGCTGATGTCAGAGGCAGAGGGGTTGCCATGGAGACGGGCGCCAGACTTTAGTTGCAGTCCTTAAAACGTAAAAATGATATGGTAGCATTTATTTTTCTTGCTTTAGCTACTTAAATAAAAATAACATTCCTAGGCAATAAGGTTTAAAATAAAAAGGCGTAATGCAAGTCATGACGCCGCGTTAGATTTACTGTGAACAACCAAACACGGCATACATCAGTTATACTTTCTATATTCCTTATCGTCTGAAGACTGGCATTACATCTCGAACATGTTGAAATGTGACACCAAATCTGTGTAACTACTAATCTTATACAGACGGTGAACAAACAACATGTTACCAAGGAGAAGTAACATCTGATTGTTGTGTTTCTTCCGACTGGCCATGAACAACACCGCTGTGCACCTCTTAGATATAAAACTTTTTATCCCCGTGACCGACCCGTTCACGTGGGCGAGCTGAGAGAAAGCCAGAGCGTGTTCAGCTTCTGCACAGCATCGCACAGGGTGGGAGAGGGGAGGGAGGTCGGGGAGGGGGGGGCTGTGTCTTGCGATTGCGTAAGCCCGGCGCTGTGTGGAGAGGCCGGGTGCTCAGTCGATGCGAGCAGCCCTCGGCTGGGGGTCTCAGATTGAGAGACCTTCCTACGTCTTGTACTCACTGGAGACTCAAAGACCGATTTGGATCTTCTAGTCAGCATTGTTATGCTGAGATTTGCAGTTATTTAAAAAAAGTGAAACACATTACAACTATAACTACAACTCTGGCTCCCTTTCATGGGGCATCTGGAGCTAGGAAACCTGAAGAAATAATGGCTTTATCTTGGTTGAAATGCTCAGTACTACTTTCTAGTCCGGAGGTGCTCCATGTTCTGAAGTGTCCCAGAGCAAGACGCCTAACCGACTCCCAGGCGCCTTCACAGCAGCACACTGCTCCCACTGTGTGGGATTGGTCGAATGCAGAGAATAATTTCCCCACGGGGATTAATAGGGGATACTTTCTTCTTTCTACATTCTTGGTCATTACCTTACTCGTACGACTTGCACTGGTCGAAGTCACACACGGTTGCTTTGGAATGAAATGTGTCTGCTAGTAAGCATGGGCCGCCAATTACACTACCAAGTTTCCCGTTAGCTCCCACTGTCGACCGCGATCTACCGGCCTTGGGATCGACCTCTTGGCGCCCTCGTTCTTGCACATCACTTAGGAAAGTAAAAATACTTTAGGATAGCACACTGAAAACAATAAGCAGTAGAAATAGAGGCGATGGACAAAGCCGTCGACATGGAAACCACGGCATGTGTGCTTTAGTGAGTTGGGAGGTTCTGTGCTTTTTCAAGGCTACATTCAATGTAGCTTGGTGTAAATATTTAGTAAGAAGATACTTTCTATGTTTTAGAAAAGCAGTTTCAACGAGCAAGATTTGCGGCTGCTTACTTTATCTTGAATTGTGCTGCGAGACATGTTGTTGATATTTGGGAGGTGTGTGTGTGTGTGTGTGTGTGTCTCTCATGGGGAAGCATTAACAAAAATGCAAGTTTTACCATAACCGCAAAAGCATAATTTCAGCATTTTAAATCGGATATAAATCTCTATAAAACATCACTTTTTAGTCATCAAAATGCCTTGCTATGCAAGTAAACCAAATGGAAGGATTATACAATAAAATCCAGCGCTTCTGACTCATAATACTTGTTGAATGCGTTCCATGGGAAGCCTTTTACAGCACCGGTCTGCTGCACCGCAGAACAAAAGAGCAGGTTCCTGATGTAAAAATACATGTAAAAGTACACGCTGCATCACTTTCTCTGGCTGCTGCTGCACATTAAAGCAACATGAGCAACTGACTGAAAACTACAGGACGAAGAACACAGCAAGACCACAAACGTAAGGAGGCTGAGGCCGACAAATCCTCCAGTCCAACGGCAAAACACACCACAGTAAAAATAAAACGGCTTATTGACACCAGGGAAGAATACTGGTGCGTTGCATGAAACCTGCTGGTACAGTGATACCAGCCGTAGAATTTGCCATAAAGATTGGGGACACCGGCCCTAAAAAACAACAATATTACACATGTAACACTTCTCTTTGAAGGACATTTAAATGAACCATTATGCTGCCTCAAATTGCACAATCTTAAAGAGTGTACGTTATTGCACATTTCCTCTCACAGGAGCCACTAACGCATGAGGAAAGCTTCGTAATGAAACAAACATTGCATTGTATGGACACAATGTTCTTGTAACTTGTCATTTACCATCTTTGATATTGTGGCATAACTGGGAGTCAAAACAAGTGGAGATGCAGGCTTGCAGCCCAAGTTAAGCATGAGGGGCCTGTATATAAAACATGAGGTTTTCCTATTACGAGTGGCTTTTAGAGTCAGAAGTATTTCTATTGTTGGGTCATTTCCTGTATTCGGTTGCAATTCTCCCTCATTATATAAGGGGTATCACTGTGCCCTTGAAAGATAACCATGAAGTGTATATTTTTTAGAAGTCAGATATTATTAAGTTTTTGTGCGAGTCCAAACCTGCCCACATGAACCAAAACGAATACATTTCAAGATGAGCAGTGAATTCAAATCACATCTATCAAATCATCCGTCAGCATCGCCGAACCATCGTTCAGTCAAGCAGATGAGAAAAAGATGTCTGATCATCAAACAAACCGTCAAAGGTCAGAGCAATATACAAAGTCCAAGTCTTTGTCTTCACCAGTTCACATTACTGGAATGACTCGCAGTAACCTAAAGAAAGTTATACGCTGATAGAAAGTGTATTAAAAAAAATAAAAAAAACTCAGTGGGACGGATATATGATCTTCGAAGTGGACTCCTGAATCACACAAGTTACAGCTTGTAACACATCGACGTTGGTTGTTGGCTCGGAGGATGACTTTTACTCAACACAAAAACAGGTCAGCTTGTTTTGTGCGAGCAGAGGACATCTCAACCCTGTTTTGTTCATGTTTAGGACAAACATATCCTGATAAGTCCCTTCAAGTAAAGCTGGTCAGTCTGCTTTTTAATTGAAAGATAATTTGGACCAATCGTCCGCCATAATCAACACAATGCCGAACAAGCAGATCGGTTCAGCTACACTTTTGTTCAGTTATTGTTCGAGGTGGAGATAATTATTCACTCAAATCTCAAACCTACGTAGTTTGAATAAAACTGGATGAGTTGAGCACACAAAAGAGAAAGTCAGCTGTCATTATGGGTTAATTGTCAAGACACTTTTGATTAGTATAAATTGCAGATAATAATGCCAGAGAACAAAAGGGATCGCTTCAAATGATTAATCTTCACTAGCAAACAATAAAAACAATATGACAGATATTAAGTTTAGGGACATGAAGCAAGTGCTATTGTGTCTTTTTACGCGACCGAAACATCAAACTACTTGGTTCCAAAATCAGGGCTTTAGCGGTGAACTCAAGTTCTTTTCGTCACACCAGCAGCAACAGTTTGGGGATTTGGTGGGTTTCTTCAGACAGAAAGATGCTGAACTACGTGCTGAGCCTCCACGCCGCAGACAAACCAGGCTCCTCTCACCACAGACACAAAAAGAACTACTGCCGTTGTTTGACACGAGGCCATCGCGTTATGTAATACTTCACAGTGTGAGGAGGGTAGGATTTATCTTTAGACAAGCGGCGATGCTGTCAAAATGTAATAAACAGGTTGCACAGAATAAATACGGAAAATGTACAGTGATGTTTACAATACAATCATGCAGGAGAAGGGGGTAAAAGGTCACATAGAACAAGCAGTATTCTGAGGAGGTTTAAATTCCTTCGCAACTAAATGCACAAAGAAAACTCCAAACATAGTTGTACAACTACAGTGGGCAAGAAAGACAATATGTTCTATGCTCAAGTCATTAAAAAGGATTAATTGAGAGAAACCACAACAAAGGTCAACCAAAACCACCATAAGCACCGGCACTCAGATCTATTGATGAAGTGTTATAAATACAATGTAGTATTATTTGTATTGGTATTTCAGCACGGACCATGTCAAGTGCCCGTTTTATTAATATCATTAACAAAAAACCCAGATCTGTTCCTTTATATAAACCGCATACAACGTTTGAGAGCTAAGGATGGTGGAAGGAGGTCTCTGAAGACACCAGGAGCACAGAGAACCTTCACATCTTCAGACTAAAGACACACCTCTTCACACTCTGCCTCCTCTAACACATCAACCAACTGTAGCACTTTAATTGTACTTGTAACGCCGCTTATCTATAGCAAATTGTAAATTGGCTTATTTGAGGAAATTGCACTTTCTTGTTCTTCTGAGTTTGTGTCCCTATGGTTGAATGCACTTATTGTGAGTCGCTGTGGATAAAAGCGTCAGCTAAATGACATGCGATGTAATGCAAGGAGTAAATAAAAAATGTAATTTTTCAGGTGTGTAAGAAACAGAATCGGTAATAAAATTGCAACGTCACTTATTTCTTTATTGACTTTTTTGTTTTTGTTTTACAGCCCACCGAAAGTCAACCAGTCAGCTGCGATTTAATGTATTTTCCTCTCAACACAGTTGTTTGCTCGCTTAAACACGTCGGTTAGCTTAAACATGTCAGTTAGCTAACGTTAGCTTAAAAGTGTCGGTTAACGTTAGCTATCGTTAGCTTACACATGTCAGTTAGCCAGTGAAGTTAACTTAAGTTGTTTAAAAGGGGGGGCGGGAGAGGGGGGGGGGGGCAGTTAGCTCACTTTAAGTGGCACTAAAAGTGACAGAGGTATAAAGACTACGCGATGTTACTAAATAAATAAACCCGGGTGGGTTCACTCACCACACCATCCCGTAGGCTCCCTCCCCGATGTAGGAGAGGTTGCTGTACCGAGGCCCGACGTCGAAGGCCTGCCCGCGGACCAGCTCCGTCCCCGACCCGGGGCTCGGGCCGCAGCCCGCGGGGAGAGACACCGTAGCTGTCGCCATCATGAACTCTTAGCTTAAAGACGCGGCTATCAAAGGAAATCAAGTTTTTTCTTAAAACAGCCAAGATTAGAAAAAGAATATGGTAAAAACCGAACTAAATGTTTTTCTTTCTTTCTTTATATATCCGTCGTCGCTGTGAGTGCAACAGTTGTCGGTGTGAGCTGATGGGGCCTTCACGTCTCGTCTTCTCTCCGTTTACGTGAATTCAGACCGACCACACCGCCGCCGCTGTGCTGTCTCAGGCAGGAGCCGCTTGATGCTGCAGGAAATAGCGGAGGCGGTCACGTGATCGCGTGTTGCCTTCAGGTACCACAGGTTCCACTCCACACAGCACTGTGCATGCACGCTAACAGGGTGGCGGATTCGGTGACGTAAGCTGCGAAGGTGGATGCAGTTGTGGAGGGAGGATTCAAATCCTGCACTTGAGTAAAAGTGGTCCGCTGGTAGCAAGCCCACCACACCAAGGAGGTTCATCCTCAAAGGTCAGGGTGTCACCTACAAAGCCCTAATTCCCATCGTGTCTCGTGAGTTTAATTGTGGTTCCCAGAAGCTCAACATGTAGGATGGGAGCCTGAGCCTTTAGTTATCAGACTTTTCAATAATCATAATAATAAAAAAGTATGGTAAGTAAAATAGAAAAGGTCAAATTGAACAAAAACTAAAAACGTGCATAGATAGGTTAAATAAATGAGAAAGTACGCACAAAAATTGAACTAGGAAAACTAGAAATGTAGAAAAACAAAATCTTGGGGGAAAACAGAACGTCATAGGGAGATTACATTTTTTTAAACGGTCAAATAAATTAGCTAAAATTCTCATCCCAGTGATATGAATTTTCATAGAGACCTTCGTTGTTCACAGAATAGACTTTAAGCACATGTCCTTACGACCAGGCAGCTATCTCATTCGAATTATTCCTCAAAACTGTGCTGCCCAAAAACTTGAAGCATATTTATATAAGTGGATGAGTTGAAGGAAGGCAAATACATGTTGTGAAACACGGGATGTTGTGGGTGTTTCTGAAGTCCCGCTGACCTCTAGGGGGCAGAGTAGACTGCGTACCGCATTACCCGGAGCAGACTGGGAAAGAGGAAACAGACGCAGCCTGCTGTCAAGTTAGTTATTGTTAAGGTCACTTCCGGAAAACATTCTAATTCAAATCGCTCATAAATGGTCCATTATTAGCATGCAGATAATAACTATAATCTATAGTCATTTTTCAGAAATAATGTGGAGGGTTAACGTCTTCTGAATGCTTTATAAATAGTTCATACGATTTTTTTCATTATATGCCTTATATCAACTATGTCATTTGTTTCCTGATTCCTGATCCTGATTAAAGTAGTTTTATTGACTGTTTCTAAACTTATTCTCTTGGACTACTAGTCTATTTTAAGGATCTAGTTTTATTTGTGAGTTTATACTTTTATGATATATAATCACACATTAAATATATCTTTTAGTTGTATTTCTGTCTGTTTTTCTGCAAGATGATCAAGAGGTAAACACCTTACCAAACATGGTGTCTTTTATTGTGAAAGGATAAGCGGAAGTGCAAAGCGTTTAGCCGTTAGCTTATTAGCTCTCGAGCTGTCTGCCCTTGACTGACCCACGTGAGTCCGTTTAGCTTCGCGCAGTCCCAAGCCAAGCCGGTAGCTAATCAAACTAGCTAAACAAGAGAGAGGCGGAATTAAAACTACTTGTTTTATCTCCTTATTTCAGTCCGAACGGTCTGGCCGGACACCAGGCTAAGCTAACATGTCACGTAGCAGCAAGTCCATGTTGTTTCTGCTGCAGCGGTGCGTCGCAGTCAGAAAAGTTACGCTACCGGCAGCTATCAGAACAAGATGGAGCAGCGCGCTGTCGGCCCGGAGCCTGCTCGCTCTGCCGCCGACATGGACCTCCACAACCTGGGCAGTCGGTCAGCTGCAGTGCGCGGTGACAACCAGCCAGTACCGGTTCTGTACCAAGGTTAGTCCGACCGCGGGATGAGGCTGATCGCCACTGTCTCCACGTGATGCCGCGTTGCACCATTTAAACACACGATGTGTGCCAGATATTTTATTTATAACGCTACCTAATGTATCTGGTAGCTTTAGTTACTGTGCATGTTCAGATTGGTATTAATGCCGCATGCTCTTCATTTAGAACATTTCATTTCCGTTATAGATTCAGCCAACTAGCAGTAGATTATCCAGCCCTAAATGTGAACTCGAGCCAACGCTTAAGTGCGTCGTGGTTCCGTTTAACAACGATCGTATTTGCGTTCACGTCTTCCAGGCAGGAGAACCTTGCGAGGACGAGTACCCCCCCCTGCCGGCCTATCAGTCTGATCCAGATCAGGGGAAGAAGGAGGTGTACATCATGCAGGTGAGGGGTCTCCCCTGGGGCTGCTCGGCTCAGGACCTCCTGCAGTTCTTCTCAGGTGAGAGTTTAAATGCCTGAGAAGCGTCACACGTCTAGTAATGTTTGCTTATGACACACGCGTTTATAACTCTGTAATAACCGAATCGCGACAGATTAAGATGGAAGCTCAAGTTGCGCTGTATTGTGAATTAATATAGAAGTGAATCGTCTTCTGAACCATGAAAATGGTGCAAACATACAAAAGAAATCCAGAACAACAGGGAACGAATGAGCTATATGATAACGGTTCAATGTTAAGATTATGTACAAAAATAAACATACTATGTGGTTGCTTTAGAGTGTCGGATACGTGACGGCGTGAAGGGGATCCACCTCACCGCGGACCGGGCGGGGAGGTCCTCGGGACAGGCCTTCATCGAGATGGAGCACGAGGAGGACGTCGGAAAGGCTCTGGAGAAGCACCGGCAGTACCTCGGCCCGCGATATGTGGAAGGTTCGACTCTTTGCCCGCCGCCGGCAATATTGATGCATCGCAAATACAAGGACTGATAGAAACGGGTGCTCACGTCCCCGCTGCAGTGTACGAGGTGACCAACAGCGACGCGGAGGCCATCCTGAAGAAGGCCGCCCAGGCTCCGGCGGGGAGCGAGGCGGTGGTGCGTATCAGAGGGCTCCCCTACTCCTCCACCAAGGACGACATCGTGCAGTTCTTTTCGGGTAAACCTCCCCCGGGCAAAGACGCGGCCGAAAGGGGCCGTTTTTAGCTCCCGAAATGATCAGAAGACGCTGTAATTTTTCTGTGTTTTGACTTTGTCACCCATAAATCCGTTGAATTAATCGGTTGAATTCATCTAGGAGGAGTTCACAAAAGATGCTTTTAAAGACGGGCTTTCTCTCAGGTCTGGACATCGCGGAGGATGGGATCACCGTGGTCACGGACCGCAAAGGGAGGAACTCCGGAGAGGCCTTTGTGCAGTTCTCCTCCCAACAAGCAGCCGACGAAGCGCTGCAGAGAGACCGAGAGGTCATCGGAGAGAGGTGTGGGGCAGGAGGCAGCGCACGGCCACATCGGGGGGCACACCGGGGCTCCTCCAGACGTCTTAATGAGCGTCTCCGCTGTTGCCGTTTGCAGATACATCGAGGTGTTTCCCAGCAGAAGGGACCAGATTCATTCCAGTAAGACGCGGAAGACGAGCTCGGCTTTCCCTCAGGCAGAGCACAGGGCCGCCTTCGCCTCGCAGACCAGGACTGGTGAGGCCACTTTAGGACTTTGTTGCATGGATATTTAGCTCCTCCCTCCCGCCTCAAATGCCGTAGCGGGTTGTTTGTTCACTTTGGTGCACAGTGTGATCCGTAAATCAATGATCAACGACATCAACAACATTTACCCTCATCATATTATTTCATGTTAACGGTGACTTTTAACAAAAGTCTTCCAACACAAAACGCAATCGATGGTGAGGAACAAAATCCTGGTGAAAATCAATAATTTCATTGCTGAGGTTTTGACTGCGTGGAGACGTATTTCGTCTCTTTGATCCATTTGCTGGATGTGAACGGACTCGTGTTCTCTGCCAGGGTCCGCTCACTTCATCCACATGAGGGGGCTTCCCTTCAAGGTGACCAGAGACGACATCGTTAAGGTAATTCGAGTAAAATAAGGGGGGGGGGAGACGTGGTCGCCCTTCTGCGTGTGGTTTTCACGTCGTCTCCCTCTCGCAGTTCTTCGCTCCTCTCGACGTGTCGGAGGTGGTGATTGACAGCCGCGCCGGAGGACGGCCGAGCGGCGAGGCAGACGTTTACTTCAGCTGCCACCAGGACGCCATGAACGCCATGTCCAGAGACCGGATGTACATAGGTGAGACTTATAAAGGCGGTGCGATAAAGAGAGCGGTTGATTGGTCGCTGCAGGATTTCAACTGGTCGCCTTCTCTCATCCCTTTTCTTTTAGGAGAAAGATACATCGAGTTATTCCTGAACTCTGACTCCGATGGAAAGAAGTGAGAAAGCTGGAACGTCTCGACAGAACAATGCTCAATTTAGATATTTCTGATTCTCGTGGTTGAGACAGAATTGTTGAGTTTCTCTTGGATGTCACACACAAGTTGTAATTACGACAAACTGCTGAGTCTGTGCTGCATCCCTCGTTTAATATGTCAGTTTACTAGTTTTAGCGACAGACTCCACATGTGCTTTAACAAGTTCTATTTTCCCCTGCAGGTGAACAAAGACGCCCAAAATACACACAGGACTGTTATTGATTTGCCAGCTCGGCCTGGACATCGAACGACAAACATTCCTGTTGTCAAAGGACTTTATTTCCTTCTCCGTCCAACGAGGAGGAGTGAGTCTCAGTTGGAGATCGACATAAAGCGCTTAAAAGAATGGAAGGTGTATTCGTTATTTAACTGGTGACAAACATGAAAACATCACAATAAATACAGTTTACTCATTTGTCAGCAAGGAGTTTATCAGACACATCAAAGCCTTTTTTCTGAATATTTATTCTGGAAATGTAAATTCCTGTAAAAATCCTCAAATCTGTTTTTACAGAAATATTCAATAAACATAATATGCTTATGCTACTCAGCGTTGTGTGTTTGTTGAATGTAATTCTATTAAAAGCTCTTTTCACGAGCGAGACCAGTTCAAATAATCCAGAGTCAAACCAGAGACATCTAAAAGTTTATTGTTGATATACGAAGCATTTCCATCGGGCGTGTTAATCAGCTTCAACAAGGACGACTGAGCTTCTAACTTCTCCATTCGAGTTAATAAAACATTAAAATCAGCTGTTGCAAAGCTGCATGTGCGTGCACACGTCGGGCCAGTCCGCAGATCAAAGTTTACCCAGAGAAAAGACTAGAATCTCCACAACCAGACTATTCTTTGTCAAATGATGTGAATATAACAGAAAGCACACTTTACCCAGAATACGTAGCGTTGTAAACAATAGGAACAGTCTGATGTTTGGATCTCTATACCCCCCCCCAGGAGGTAAATACTCTCTGCAGTTTGGAGCCGGAGCTGAAGACCATCAAATATGTGCTGATAAGCTCACAACATTGGGATTTAATGTGTGTTTTCTGGTCTTTAGCATTACAATGCTTTTAACTCATTGCTCCGGGTCCACCACTAATATATATATTTATATTTTAACATTAGAGTGTAAAACACATTTTGACTGCAGTCTTTTAGAAAATGCTATCACACGTTTGATATCATAGTAGAATATAATATCTGGTCCAAAGGGGGATATTGGATTCTAACAGCATCCGAAACCACGTAGAGAGAGAAAGATGTCATGCTTCACCTGAAAGGCTCTTCATATACTGATCTGCATATGAGTAATAGTTAGAATGAAACATAGTTTCCAATCTTTTAAAACTAAATCCTTTAAAAATATATTAACACTTTTAATTTGATAATCCACTTAGTGGACATTTTTTTAAACCGGTGAGATGATTCTCTTTTTTTATGCCATCAGAAGCCATTTTTTTTTTACAGCTTTTTTTAAAAATGCAGCTAAAACACCGGCAGAAGGGAAGAATTACAGCGACTCCAGTGGATGAAAACCTGCATCCAAACGGCAAGAGTTTGGCGTTCACTACCGGGAACGACCCGGGCGGGCCCCCGTCAGACCTTCCGTAAAGTCAGGGGAGGAGTGCGTGTCGGCAGCGCGGAGACGCGGGCTCATGTCGGCGTGGACGCGTACTGCTGCAGCAGCAGCGAGTAGCAGGCGGTGCACACCGTCTCGGGGAGGATGGAGGAGGCCAGCGGCAGCTCGTTGGACACGCAGCCCTCGCAGAAGACGCCCTCGCAGTTCTTACAGCGTCTCTGGGGGCGAGGAGAGGGGATTAGGCCGCGCTCCATCAGGGCCCAAAAAACACCAGACACTGATGGGGTTTTTTTTTAACGGTTTGAGCTCCTGTAAAACGCCTCGCGGTTTATAGTTAATGAGACAAGAGGCTCCATCTTGGTACCTTTGTCTTGGTGAGGGAGTCGTCCCGTTCACACATGCTGCAGATGGAAGGCTGACAGACCTCCTCCTCCTCCTCGTCCTGCACATAATAAACCAACGAGGGGTTTGTTGAAGCCTCCGATATCAAACACTAGAACATCAATACACCGCGCTTCTTCTTTCAGCCCGTTACGGAAAACGTATGATCTAAATTAAGACATTTTAACATTCTAGACCTCACCTGTTCGTCCTCATGGTGGGACCTCGAGGACCTTAAAAAAAGGTGGAGAAGAGGATAAATGAATACAATAATATATATTCCCTCCAATACCAATATTTTGTCTAAATATTACTTACAAGCTGGAGCTCAGACTGGTTTTGTCCTCGGTTCCCGTGTTGAACGGCTCGCTCTCCCTTTTGACCGATATAGATGCTGGGACGCGCTGTAAGTGACACACACACACACACACATCAGGTCCACACACTTCGGTTCGTCTGTAATCCGGCGTACTCGTCACACGCAGCTGTACCTTGGGGATGTTCGCTATGTCCTCTGGGAGCCTCGTCTCCCTCCGGGGAACGCCGGACTGTGAGGACGAGCCGTCGCCGTGGCGATGCCGCTCTTTTCTCAGCTCCAGCTCCAGGTGGGACCTGGAAGGCAACGCAGGTTTACACCGAACGTACGGAAATAACGCAGCGTGACCGTGCCTCGTCTGAAGGAAATAAATGAACAAAAAAAAAAAGTAAGACGACAAGTATCCCAAAGATGCAAAAGAATCAAAGGGTTTCTAGGAGACTTTACCTGTGCTTCCTCAGCTGCTCCACCTCCACCTGCAGACTCTCGATTTTGTCCCCAAACTCCTGTTTGAAGAGCCGGTTGGCCTCCAAAGCCAGAACCCTCTCCCTCTCAGCCTGTTTGCATCTGGTCAGGGGGGGGGGGGGGGGTTACATAAACTTATGGTAAAATGAAAACGTGACGAAAAGAAAACATGATGGAAACTGAAAATAAAACAAAAGTATTTGACTGAAACCCAACGAGGAAACGTTCACCAAGGACGATGACGCCGGCTGATGTTGGTTTATTGTTTTATTCGCCTTATGGTTACTACAGTTTACACCAAGGTTATGTTAACATACAATTCAAAACTAAGGAATTCACTTGGCCCTTTTCTGCCCGTCTTGCTCCTGCCCCGGCTGCCTTCCCTCTCCCGCAGGTCCCCACAAGGACCCCCCCCCTTCGCCCCCCTCTGGTGGTGGTCTTATTCTTCGGGAGAACATTGCAGCGAGTCCACTACCTCCCAGGTACTCAGGACGTGTCCATCAAAATAAACAACCCTGTTTCCTGGTGGACTTTCAGAGGCCACGACTTCTACTCGTCTTTCCGTTCTGCAAAAGAAACGTAGAAAGCGCCGATGCGGTATTCTTAAGGAACGGCCACCGAATAAAAGAAGAAAAGGGGCCGTCAGAGAGAACGCGAGGAACGCCTCGGCCCACACTACTCAAAAGCTGATGTTAAGGGGAAGAAATGAGAGGGGGGGGGGACGGTTTTTAATTTTCCACAATAAAAGGAGCATGGTACAGAAAAGGAACGCCGTGGTTTGGTTAATCTCTATATTGGACCGGGCGACGTTCACGAGCTACTGCTGCAGCTGCAGCAGCTTCCCCGCCGCCGAGTTCAGGTTGCGGGCCTGTTTCACCACGTGCTGCTCGCTGAGTACACGTTCAAACCAAAGAGTGACGACAATGACAAAATAATGAGAGTGGAGGGAGGAGAATGACAAAAACAGGACAATAAGATGTTTTTTGGAGGCAAATGATTCTGTGAAATAATCATTTAAAAAAAGAAAAGAAAAAGAGAGGGAGAAGACACGGCGGGCCGCCCTCACCTGGTCTCCATCTGCTTCACGGTGCCGCTCATCTGGTTGATCTTCTCCTCCAGCCGAGCGATGGCTTCACTCTTCTGTTTGGAGCCGGCGTCGGCGCTCTGGGGAATACGGAGATTCTCAGTCATTTGTACGCAGCGGTGTTTCGTTTTAATTATTCAACCCACGACGGAGCTCCGAACCCCAGAACCCGACCCGCAGGTCGAATTAATCCCCATTTCCCTGTTTCTGGGTGAATATTCGATGACCTCGGTCACCTCTCCTCCATCGCAGCTGGGGCCGGGGCTTGTGGGTAATGTAGTGCTGCAGGGCCGTTCCTCACCTGGGACTTGTGGCTCAGCTGTTGGTTGATGACGCGGAGGTCCTCCAGCTGCTGCCTGAGCTCCACCAGAGCGTCCTGCTTCTCGCAGACGTCCTTCTCCAGCATCTTCATGGACAGCTCCATCTCCTGCTTCATCCCGATCTGCACCTCCAGCTCCTTCTCCACGTCCTGCACACAGATTCCTCCGCTTCACACACACACTTCACGACGTCGGCCTGTTCGTTTACATGAAATACTCTGGATCCTCTCAGAACCAACAGAACTGGAGGAGAACTTTAATCGGCCTCACTCACCAATCGAAGCAGAGTTTCCTCTTTGAGCTGCTTGCGTGTTTCGCCCAGCACTTGTCCGTCCGGAGCCGACTCGCTTCTTGATGCCTGATGAGTGAAACGCACACATCAGCGTTTTACACTGCGAACGGTGTCATTTTTCGACCGTAAAGCCGAACCCAAGCTGGATGATGCGCTCACCTTCCTGGTCTCCAGCTGGTACGAGCTCTCCTCCTGCACTCGCTCCACGTCTTCTTGTAAAGTGATGATCCGGTTGTTCGCCACGGCGAGCTGCGGGAGACAAAAGTCACGGTGACACTCGGGCCAGCCGACGGCGAAGGCGAGCGGCCGCGTCGAGGTTCTCCTCCTCACCTCCTCCGTGAGCTTCGTGTTGGACTTCTCCAGAGCGTCCACCTTGGCCTGCAGGTTATTCACCGACGCGCTGCGAACAGAAGAAGCGAAACGATGAGTCGGCAGATCGGCGGGCGACGCGGCGCGGAGCGCAGACACGCGGACCAACCTCAGGTGTCGGTTCAGCTCCTCCACGTAGTTCTTCTGATCGAGAATCGCTGTGATCTGACCGTCGCTGCAGGAGGAGGGAGACGGATGAAACGACGAGGACCGCTTTTTAATTCTTGTAAGTCATCATGATAAAAAGACCTCAAAATAGATAACTAAAGAACTAAAAATAATAAGGTAGTATTTCAGAATAATGACAAACTTTAATGACAATAGATTAAACCAGCTAGTTCGCTGTTGAATAAAGGCACGGTTATTTTTTAATCATCCATGAGAACATTATTTTTCCATTTTTCTTTTCTTAGGATTATTATTGCGCCGTGCAAAAATTAAAATGAATATGGGACTAGATGCATTCTTTAAAACCAAGATTAAAAGCAGCACTCACCCCTCTGCACTCTTACTACTGTGTCCTCCATCTTTCAGGTACATCGAGAAATCAATCACGCCGACCTAAAGAGGAAATGTAGTCAGAAACAGATAAAGGTTAAAAAAAACATTCGATTTTTTTTAAAACAATTTTCTTTCTATTTCTTTTTTATAGACTTATTTTTCCAAACATTTTTTGACCTAAAATATTTTGATGTTTTTTCAAAATATTTGACCTAATATTTTTTTATTTTCTTTCCATGACCTTTTTATTAATCTTATTGACAGCCCTAATTTTAAAACACCAATGTTTTGTCCGGTGAAGATGCATTCAGGTTATCTGAATATGAGTAGGAGGAGACGGTTTCACTTTGTCCTTGTAATGCTTGTTTACTGAGCAGAAGACAAACTGGAGACCTGCCAGTCCTCCCAGTGACTTCAGTCCCACCTCTTAAGCCAATAGAGAGGCTCAGAGCAGCCATTTAAAAATACCGTCTCACTTACCGCTGTTGATATTACCCATTTGAATGGTTTAGAACATTTGGAGTTGACAGCTTAGCAAAAGAAACGGAACAGCTGCTCCGACACGTGTTCCTGCCGTGTGCGTGGACGTGGGAGCAGGATTACCTGAGAGTCCAAGTCCTCTCCCTTCATACACAGGTTGGCGTCGATGACATTTAGTCCCACGAGCAGCCCGGCGATGACGGCGCCCTCCTCCTCCATCATCAGCGCGTTCGCCTCGTAGAACTCACTGCAGAGACGAGACGCGTTCTGACGTTAATCAGTCCAACCTTCTGCAGGACAGCGACAGGCGCATCATCTCTCCTTCAGAGGGAAGTCGACGACACGTGTCCGCGGCTCTGCTTCGAGGTGCCTCACCTGAGCAGGTCCTTTCTGTTGATGATGGTCTTCATGTAGTCAGAGAGCTTCTTCTGCATCAAAGCCAGTCTCAACCAGGCCCGTCCTCTCCCCAGGGGGGTTCTGTAACACAAGAAGCAACCGCTTACAAACTTTAACGGCCGTAGGAGTTTTAGATTTAGAGAGAAGAGGCAGAAATGGTCCCGCCTCCTCCAGGGACTCACCTGAGGCCAGGGAGGTCCTTCACGCTGGCCGTGATCTCTCCCGCTTCGGGCGTCAGCTTCTCCACCAGCTCCAGCGCCCCCCAGAAGGACTTGTTCTGCCCCAGGAACGTCTTCTTGGCTGACGGAGGAGACACTGGTTGAGTCATTTCATTGGGAGGATTGTGGGTAACAGAACTACACGGGAGCAGCGTCTCGTCTGTCGGTTCGAATACGGAATCATTTATTGCCCAAATATGTCAGACATACAAGGAATTTGACTTGGCGGTTGGTGCGTGACAGTAGACAGTACGACAATAAGACAGCAGTGCACGAGTAATAAAACAAAATAAAATGAACTGCTAATGCTTTGGGTTAGCAGAATAAGGCTATGGGTTAGTTTAAAATAAGAGAATAAAGTTAGTTAAAAATGTAAAATATTAAAGTTAAAAAATATTTAAAGAAATTAAAAAATAAAGTGCACTAGGGAACAAGTGACGAGTGAAAAATGACAGTAAAGTGACGTGTGCAGGATGAAAGAAAGCGACTGGTTTTAATGTCAGAGTCAGTCTGACGGACCATTTTAAAACCAGGAAATCTGCCTCACAATCACATTGTGTGAAAGATTCTGTTTGTATGCAGAAAATCGTCCCGTTTTTTTTTTTTCCTCAGTAAGAACCGCCGACTGACGCAGATTCGAACGGGCGGCGAGTGCGTACTTTTCAAGCCGTGCTTCAGACAGTGCTCCATCACCACAAAGAACTGCTGCAGCGGCGCGTAGTCAGAGTCCAGCGTGCGGCCGAGGTTGAGGGCGGACTCGATCAGGCCCTTGATGCTCAGCTGGCCCATGTTCATCAGGTTGAGCCGCTCGAGGGCGATGGGATCCTTGGGTTCTGGAAGGGGAGGAGAGAAAGGTCACTGAGACCCGCGTAGGAATGAGAGGGGGGGGGGGGGGGGGGCATCGGAGAAGGCTCTGTATTTCCTTCTGATGTTCTCCAGGAAGAAAAGTAGTTTTGAAATGAAAATAAGAGATAATATGACCAACAACCAAAAGGAGCTCAAAACAAAGACTACTAATGAATAATTATACTGGGTGTTTTCGTAGCTTCGTGGACAGAATGCAGCAAGACGACGTTTCACTCCATTTACTTATTTATTTGACACCTCCGGCTCCCGAAGCCACAGAATAATAACAGAACAATCAACAAATAAGTTGTGATATATTGTTGATTAATATACTGCTAACCAGCAATGTAACAAACTGACGAGCTCCACCAGCGTTAGCATGATGAACACAATAGTTACATCCCACCAACATTATTCTTAAACAATACTTACTTTTGGTAGTTATATATTTTGATGCTAACATTTAGCACTTTAACAGAGAATGTGGCATTTCTACTTTTACTGAAGTGAAGATTGGAGCACTTTTAGCTCTCGGCAGCTTCTTACAACGCGGCACCAACATGTGTGTAAAGTAAATGTCACAACAAACAAATACATTTGAGTTTAACGGGATGAATATTGCAAAGAAACGAAACATTGTTCGATACAAGTGCGACGTAGAAGCCGTCGTAACAGAACGCGCCGTTATCCGTAGTGATCGTCCTACAGTAGAGCCGCAGCGCGCCGACCGGCCGGAGAGAGGCGCGGCAGGAGGGGGAGGAGAGGAGCCCCCCCCCCCCCTCATCACGCACAGCTGATATTCATATTTCAAACATAATGCAGCTGTTCAAAACAAGCCTGTGTGCTCTGCCAGATGTGAATATCTGGATGCTGTTGCAAAAAGCAACCCTGTACAGACGTGTGGGTCGTATCCAGTAAGATGAAGGCAAAGCGACAGCAAACATTAAGCTGTTTTATTGTTGTTGTTGTTGTTGTTGTGTCTCTCTTGACAACAAAACGAGCGCCACTTCCTGCTCGTCACTGCCGTGGAACTCAAGACACCAAACCACCGGCACGCCGCCACAGTTCACTCCACGAGAAGGCAGGGACCCTGCGTGCGCCGCCACGCCAAACAGAGGGCCACGCTGTGCAGGCAGATGCCACCCCCCCCCCCACCCTCCTCCTCCTTCCCCCCCCCCAGACCCCTCCCTCGATGAGCTCATCCGTCACGTTACCTTCATGGGCCGGCTCGGGGTCCGGCGTCAGGGAGATGTCGTTGAGCTCGCGCAGGCAGAGCCACTCGCCATCGACGGACACGCGGAAGTTGCAGAGATAGATGGTCTCCCGGGCGGCCTGGGTGATCTTGTCGGTGGTGGGGGTCGGGGTTTCGCTCTGAGGCGTCAGATCAGACATGATGACTCAGCTGATTGCAACAAAAAAAAAAAAAATGCGCCGAGTGGAGAGGAGAAGAAAAAAGGCCCCAAGAAGCTTTTTGTTCCACAATCCAGTGGAGGCCCCTTCGTCTTCGTCCCCGTCCCCCCCACCACCACCGCCAGAAAAATCACAAGTGGGAGAGAACAAGGGACGTAAAGAGCATCAACACAAAGGAGGATGAAAGGCCCGCGGCGGCTCTCAGCAGGTGTCGGAAGGGCTTCTGCTTTTCCTCCTCTTTATGCTTTATGCCTGCATCCTCCTCCTCCCCTCCTCCTCCTCCTCCTCACAACTGCTGCTGCCGTGTTGAGAGAGGCTGCCCTTCCCTCCTCCTCAACTCCTCCTCCTCCTTCGACCTCCTGTAATCCCCTTTAGCACAGACTGGGGGATTTAAAATGCAAGAGAGCCCCCCCGTGCTACAGAATCACAGCCCTCCTCCTCCGCTCGGCACCGGCTCCCTGATTCCGCTGCCTGTGCACCGCGGCGAAAGCTCTGCCTGGGTGTCGACCAAAGATGGCCGACAGTAGTACGGCAACACATCGTCACCACGTGAGCAGATGGTGCATGCGTAAAAAGGGAGGGAGGGGGGTGGGGCGTGTTGTAAGGGGGGGGGGGTCCCTGAGTAGCCAGCCAGTGCCAATGATTCAGCAGAGGACTCATCTTAGCCTCTCGAGCAGCGACAGCGTTGTTTGACAACGCGATTACTCAGCCGGCTGCAGCGGGACGGCGGCGAAACGTCCAGGATGCAGCCGGGGCCTCGAGTTACTCTGCGTCCCACGACAGAGCCAAGCGACGCACTGCGTTTACAAGTGATGTGGCGGCGATCAGACGCTCGGAAACACACTTTGATATTTGTAACTGTGGTCAGAGAGCGCAAGACGTCAGACACGTTAGCCGTAAGAACCAGGAGAAGTTATTTTTTTAAGCTCAGTCAGCTGGTACTTGTTTGCAAACCACTGATTTAAAAAATGACTATAGTGAGGAAAAAAAATAGCTTACTGGTTTATTCAACTAATTATCAGATTAAATCATTACTGCATATAATATTGTTTTATGAGAACTCATGTGCCATTGTAATTGAAATCTGAGATTTTCATGATCCAATATATTCAGAATTATTTAGCATTTTTACAGTGAACATTTTAAATGATAACAGCGCTAACAAAAGACACACGTTGTAAAGCGTAGATTATTTTTGCCTCTTTACTTAAAAATGTCATTAACTTGTTTTGTTATTTTGCACAATGAGGAAGATCTTGGGTAGATAATACATATTAAACCACAATTTAAGTCTCACACTCAACTAAAGCAATAAATATGTTTTGAATTGAAATTAAACACCATTACCGACTGACTGGATGATATTGATGATGATTTTTGATGATGATATTAGGGGGAATACCAATATGGTTGTTTGCATCTGCCAATAAGAAACAGGTAACACAGCACAGAAATGCAAAGACAGGCTCAAGGTCATTTACAAACATTGAAACTAATATAGTTTGTCCATCGAAGGGTACTGACAAGTCGCACTGTAAAACTATAAAAGGGCTTTTTTAAATAAATAAGTGACTCTGCCGATAAATCGTTACCAGCTTTCTTTTACTCCCCAACAACAGTCATTTTGGCCCTGGTCCTCTAGATTACGTTCTTATTGGATAAAATGTTCAAAGCTTACCCAGAGTGTGATGTATAGTAAATACTAACTAAAAGTCAGTAACTAAACCAACTAAATGTTTTGCAGAGCAACAAACTACTTCAAGGATGTCGAACTTAAGACAGAAAATAAAAACATCTGCACATTTAAGGAGACAACACGCAGACATTTTTAACATTTTTGCTTGATAAATGACCTTTTTAAAAATCACCACCGAAATGATTACCAAACTGCCAAAATAACAAAACAAATAAGAAAATAAGGACAAAATCATATCCACAGTTTGACCCAAATCCTAGAAAACATCCAGTGTGTCATATTGTGATCTTGGAAAGTCTTCGATGCTTTGGTGTGGACAGACAAATCTCTCTTCCCAATACACTAATCTATCTATCATTATATATATATATATATGATAGATAGATAGTGTATTTCAATAAGAAGATATAAAAAGACCACGTAGAGATCACAGTGCAGGTAATCTGTGCGGTTAACGTTGAAGCAGTAAAATCACTGCGGATGATTTGTCTGATTTGTCATCTGCAACAAACAACAAATGTAAAACGTGTCACAGCATCGAGAGAGTTCTTATTATCTTCTCTAAATAAAGCCTTGTGTATATAAAACCTTGTGTATATGAAGCCTGTAAGGCAGTCAGTTCTTAGTCAGATCGTAACCAGGTAGGAAGTCGTTTATTTACGGACGAGACAAGAGTTAGCTGCTAGCACTAACAAGCTAGCAATGCTAACAGCAGGCAACTGGTTTACCGGTGATGAATATCAAAAGTTATATATATGAAAAAGTTGATTACTTACTTCTGCGCTTTGACTCGACTCGTTCGATCCTGAAGTCATACTGTCGAGGCGGGGGAGCGGGCGACAGCGAGCCAGCCTTCCCGAATCTCAAGTTAGACGAGTTCAAAGCCTCCTGGAAGTAGATCACCGACGTCGGGGACAGCGTCTCGTCCGGACTATCGACGTGTCCGTTTTTATCCGCGCAGCTCGGCCTGCCTGAACTTTCCGGACCCACCGAGGATGATCGCAGAGGTGGATCCCCGGTCACGTCTCGCTCCGCCATCCTCTCCTCTCCCTCCCCCCTCCTCCGGTCAAACTCACTTCATGTGACCGAGGGAGCGCGGGGCTGTCAGGCGGCGGTTAAGCTAGCTGACGTTAGCTGCGGTTAGCTAATGCGGCCATTCACAGCGGGAGGCTAGCAAAGCAAAGCAACCGTGTTTCGGTCAGTTTACTCCCCCCCCCCCAAAAAAGAAATCTCTCCAATAATCACTCCGCCTTTCGCCCTGTCGTCCGCGGCATCCACATGACCCGGAAACAGCTTCGCATTCGCATATTGGCTCAAATCTGTTGCTAATTTCGCGAGAGTTTGCGCGCTGTGTCAGCGGATGGTCCAGTAATCCGTCACCAGAGAGTATCCACGTGAGGAGATGACGCGATGACTCGCGAGCACAGGCTCCATGACTGAGCGTGAGCGCGTGGATTCTCCCACGATGCATTGCGATACGCGCCGGCATCCTCGTGCCAAGGCTCTCTGATGGAACAGCTCCTTATTTCTGTGCGGACTGACTACAGACCGAACACATCAGCGGCTTTCTGTTTAACAATGAATGCAGTTGCACCAAAAAATGTCTACCTAATACACACCTTACGCCTACTTACATATTCATGAATGGGTATTTATAATAGCAATGACGTCATAAACAAGACCAGTTTACAGCAAACTAGATTACATATACAGAATTTAAAAAATACAACAGAAATATACAATATGTTACTTTTCAGAAACACTTACTTTTAGACAACAACTTAAAGTGCTTGGGCTATTATAGACCGAAGTAGGTTATATAATATGAGACGCTTTTTTTAAAGTGTGGACTTGTGAAACATGGTTAATATTGATACCATTTGTTTATTCCCTTCATACTCTCCTCTGTCACAGGTGTAATACCCAAAACGGCCCATAGAAGGAGATGCAGGACTAATGTGAAACGGATGTGCTGTCTTTTTATTATCCATAGACGTTTCACTGCCTTCATATCTCTATCCCGACCAGCAGCAGCTGCCAACTCTGCCTTCTGTGAGATTTGAGAACAATTTGAAATAATATACAAAAACAATCAGGTTAGATTCCCTTTCAAACGTTTGAAGTGCTTTTTTGTTGTTGTTCTATATGAATGAGGCTTTTGGGATTTTGTCAGATTCCACTACAACTAGAAGCACGACATCAGAAACACTTTTTGTGTGTTCCTTTCTCCACGTAATAACATAGTCATATATGTGGTTTTGAATGAAATGTCTCTATGAATTGTCCATCAAATGTATAGGGACCTCCTCAGGATGACCTGCATTAATATGAATTGATTAATACATTGATATATTAATATATGTATATATTGTTCATTATGGCAAAATGTATTTGAAATGAAAATACGTTTTGGTGTTCTATCCATCCATCCATCGTCAAAACGCTCATCCTGCACACAGGGTCGCGGGTCAAAGGTGAACTAAAGGTGTTCTAATCTTACACAAAACCTACAGTGAGTTGTGGGTTATTTTTGGAAGTACATTTGTATTGCACACTTCTTTTGGACTGCGTTGAACCGATGCACTGAGCCCATCACGAGATGCAAGTCCTTAAAGGTCACAGCAAGAGAGACGAGACGTCTCTGGTTCTCCTCACAGGTCTCTGCCACATAACTTACTGCACGCTGAAACCTCACATCTGTGTGACAACATCTGTCCAACATATCATGTACACATTTACTTTGCACTCCCTCTCATTTGAACAATGTATCCATGTGCAACAGACCAGGACCTGCTTATATTTAAAATCAAATTGGACAATGCTGCACAATGTTTTTATGAGGCACGCTGTACTTTTTAAGGAACTCTTTGCGTCTTCACCTTCCCTTCTGTGTACATGAATCAAGCTCTTGTGTTGCCATGTACGTTCATGTCCTGCCCCTGCTCGTCCATCTCCATCTCTTCCTCCTTTCCTCATCTCTGAATAGACTATTGCCAATGTAAAAAAATAAAAATCCATTAGTTTATGAAGTGAAGTTGCCCGATAATAAAATCAAATGTAATTTTCTACTTTTCTTTCTCTAATTTCTACTGTCACGACGTGGCCTCAGAAGTTTCTGAGAAAAGGTTTGAGGTGGAATTACATTTCCTCGAACAATTTCCTATCTAAGGCGCGAGCTAAGGCACCTGCGGAAAGACAAGCGGGATCAAAAGAGCAGCATCAAGTAGTGGCATTGAAGGCATCTCAGACTACAAAGGGATGCTGATACCTTTCAAATCGCATCGAATGCTTCGTGTTTGGAAATGGAATTTGGAGTAAAGCGGAGGAACTGCGAGCCGAAGGCGTTTCAGATCCGTTATGTCTTCCTGTCGGTTCATCTCGCTCAGCTTTGCTTTGCTTTTAAAAGTTGCACAAGGTGGAAAAAAAATGGAATTGCTGACATGCTTCGGGTTGAATGTTTAAAACAGGAGCTGTTTTGGATTATACACTCACACGCATGACGGACAATCCCTTCTCCCGCTAACTAGTCTCACATATGTCGAGTGATGTTAGCCGTAACAATATTTTGTGTTATGAACAAAAACATAAAACGATGTTTTGAGAACAAATTTCTTCACGTGTATAGTGAAGGCGTAAACAGATGACAACAATATTTTACTTTTGGCAATGGTATGATGTCCACTTAAAAATGTATCTCACTTTGAAATAGCGTTTGTCAGAAAAGCTGTAAAATCTGTAAACCTGTAAAAAATAAATGAAACGTGCTCGACTAAAATGCTGCTTGACGTAACTTTACATGTCATTTAGCCGACGCATTAATTCAAAGCGATTTACAATAATGCATTTTAACCATGAGGATGACTGACCCTCATTTCCTTATTGAGACGGCAACCTAATGTTTGCAATCTTTCATAAGCATTTGAGTTTATCTCCAAAAACTGTCCTGTCAATAATGAATTCATTTAAAGGGGGCAGTTTAAGATTTTTTGTATCTGACATCCATCCCCAGGTTACACCGTTAGAAATGCTCTAATTTTCGAATTGAAGACCTAAGTCGAGTCTGAATACAGCAGATAGCTCGAGAGCTTCAGACCAAACAGCCTCACGACTTCAGCAAACGGAGAGATCAAGAGGACTAAAATAAAAACAAAGTAATGAAAATGAGAACTTTATCAGGCAAGCCAGCAGAATTTAGCATCTCAACTTTTAGACGGCAAAAATAACACAATGTTCTTTGCAGTTGACGATGGATCCCAACAAATAAGAAAACACAATAAGTTTCTCTTTTTAGAAATGTTATTGAAAGTAAAAACACCACAATTAAATGATTAAAAAGGCCATTATAACAACTAAAATTCATAAAATGAATTTCTAAGAATCTGACCCAGTTTCTCAGTGGACCTAATCCATGACCGTGTCTGTCCCACCGACACCGTTATTTAACACGTAAACAGACACATTTGTACACAAATTTCTTAACTAGTTTGGTCCTTAAAACGGACCAAAAAAGTAATTATTGTGGGAAATACTTACGCGGGTGTCGATAACAACAGCCTCTGCATTTGTCTCATTGTTTTATTGGTTTCTGTGGTGGTTTCTGCCATAGTGTACAGTAACCTTCTCATTGTTTCAATCATACCTTCAACTTGGTTCTGGTGTTTGGTTTTGGAATAGAACATTCAACAGTCATTTCCACAGAACCCCCCGATACCGCTGTAGCCCTGTTTAAAGAAGTCATTCCTTCTGCTTTCAGTTCAGTGTCTCAAGATATCAGAGGAAGTGAAAACTTCAGTCCGTCGCAGATGGATCATCTTGTCGATACTGCAACAGACTCTTTGAGAGTGGTGCTGGACGCTATTGCTCCTCTGGAAAGGAGAATGTTAACAAGAAGGAAGTCTGCTCCGTGGTATAACCCTCACAACCGCAACTTAAAGCAAACCGTTCAAGCGAGGCGTTCCGTCACGTTAGAAGAAGGTTTCTTTTTAGGTTAGTTAGATTGTCCAGACAGCTTTAAAGAATATAAGAAGGCTCTCCGTAACGCAAGAGCAGCTTTATTAATCATTAATAATAGAAATAAATAACAACAACCCCAGATTTCTCTTCAGCACTGTAGCCAGACTGACAGAAAGTCACAGCTCTGCGTGTTCCTTTTGGACCTCAGTAGTAACGACTTCATGAACTTCTTTAATGATACGATTCTGACTATCAGAGAGACACTTGCTGGTCTTCTGCCTTCAACCAGTGACGACCCGCCCTTGGGAGTAGGAACCTTGGATGCAGCTGTGGTTCCTGATGCATACTTGGATGGCTTCTCTCCCATCAACCTTGCTCAACTGACTTCTACAATTTAGTGTAAACCCTCTACCGGATCCAATCGGATCCAATAGACAGGATCCAAGAGACAGGATCCGATTCTGACAAGTCTGCTTAAGGAAGTTTTCCTTTAATTAGCACGTCTTTACTGGATATCATGAATCTCATTTTTTGACAAATGAATCCTCGACGACCACCGATGGTGGTCACGGAGTCCAACAAGGTTCTGTGCTTGGACCGTTTTTATTCACCCTCTATATGCTTCCTTTGGGCAATGTTATCAGAAAACACCCCATAAACTTCCATTGTTATGCAGACAATACTCGACTGTATTTGTCAATCAAGCCCAAATGAGACCGACCAGCTTGTTAGACTTCAAGAGTGTCTTGGGGACATCAAAACTTGGATAACCTGTAACTTCCTGATGCTAAACTCAGGACAGAGATTATCTTTCTCTGGGTGGAATTGTTCTGGTATCCAGCAGCACCGTTAAGAATCTTGGAGTTCTCTTCGACCAGGATGTGTCCTTTAACTCTCAGCTAAAGAAGACTTCAAGGACGGTCTTTTTTCATCTACGTAATATATAAAAAATCAGTCTCTCAAGTGATGCAGAAAAATTAGTTTGTGCGTTTGTCACTTCCAGACTGGACTACTGTAATTCTTTGTTATCAGGCTGCTTTCATAAGTCTCTTAAGCCTCTCCAGTTGATTCAGAATGCTGCAGCACGTGTATTAACAAGAACTAGGAAAAGGGATCATATCACTCCTGTATTAGCTTCTCTGCACTGGCTCCCTGTTAAATCAAGAATAGAATTTAAGGTTCTTCTTCTCACCCACTGTCTTATGTTAAGCAGCTTTTAATACCATATTGCTATATTGCTATTGCTGCGCTCCATAGATGCTGGGTTGCTTGTTGTTGCTAGAGTCTAAAAAAGTGGGATGGGAGCCAGAGCCTTCCGTTATCAAGCTCCTCTTTTGTGGAACCCGCTTCCACTTTCAGTCCGGGGGGCAGACTCAGCCAGCTCTTTTAAGATAAAGCTTAAGACTTTGCTCTTTGAAAACGCTTATAGTTAGGGCTGGCTCAGGTCAGCCTGGACCAGCCCTAAGCTATGCTGCTGTAGGCTTAGACTCCCGGGGGGTTTCTAATGACACAACAAGCTCCTCTCTCTCTCTTTCCATAATAATTCACATCTCATTAATGCACTATTAATCACTAATTCAGCTTCTTCTCCGGAGTTTTTGTGCTTTCTCGCCTTGCAGGTTTCCGTGGATCGTGGTCCCGTCTGGGTCCTGCCTCCTGCCTGGCCCTGCTGACACCTACTGCTTCTAACACCATTATTATTCCCATTACTATTACTGTCAACATTAATGCGCATTATGGACTTTGTTTCTTCCACGTAGTGTTTGTGCTTTCTCGCATCGTAGATTTCCATGGATCGTGGTCCCGTACGGACCCTGTTCCCGCCTCCTGCCTCCTGCCTCCTGCCGTGGCCCTGCTGACAACTGCTGCTTTTATATGTATTATATTATATATACATATATATTATAACTATTATTAGAAATATCGATCACATTACTGTTGCTGTCATCGTGGACCAACATTGCTGCTTCTTTGTTGGCGTCTTTGTGCTTTCCCTCCCCACAGGTTTCTGTGGACGGTGGTTGTGTGCGATGGTGTTCTGTGTGATGGGGTTGTCCCTGCAGTGGTCCTGCCGTACTACCTGCAATATTTAAATAATTGATGTCATTGGAATTGAATGTATTGTACATATCATATAAGCCCAGATGGCTTGTAAGGCACAAAAAGTATCAGCAACAAGAGACATGAAAACATAAACCGTGATAATAGAAAAAATACTTCATTGCAGCAGTATATTTTTTAGAAGATACATGTTACATTGAATTTCCTCTCAGACGTGTTTTGAAATGCATAAGTTTGATATACATACATTCTAATTCACTAACATAAAATCAGGTTAGAAGGTGCAGACTAACAACACAACCACAGCAGGAGCTCTTCTTCAGGCTCTGTTTTGGCAATATCCCATAATTTCCACTTAAGTATCAGGTATTCGCACAAGACTCTAGATGACACCTCAAACATCCCCCCCCAAAAAAAGCTTTAAAATTGATTATCATAGTTAAATGTTACCCTACTGAATATAATCCAGTCTAGATTTGAGAAGCGTGTGCTCAGTTCTCTTTAAAATGCTTAAAGCATTAATTAAAATAACCCCATACGCAGAAAATGTCAGCTCTAATTATTATAGAATAGAATATTATTAGATTATTAATAATATTGCATTATAGCACAAGGTTGAACTATTTGTATTTTGCAATACATCATTATTGTATACATCTGCTGCTAGCATGCCTGTATTCTTTTGCGAAAGGTTTATGGCTTGATGATCTGTCACCTGGGGGGTTCCTGTTTGTCAGTAACTGAGAGCTAATTAGTCTTTGCAAACCACTGAGAACTTCTTATAGATTGATTGATAACGATGCTGCAGTTTTTCCTGGAAGGAGTCTGCAGCAGAAACTGAAGTTTGGGTTGTTTTATCTAACATTTAACAGGCTGCACACAATGCACACCCTTCACCTGTTGATGATCAGTAAGAACGTTCTTGCTTTATTAATCCCTCATGTGAAAAGTCAAGAGAGCTTGAGGTGTGGCAACTTTGCAACTTTGCTTATGAGCACTTGAAAGTGTGGTGTAAAATATTCAGATTAATTGGCGTCTCTATGTCTTATGGTGGGTTTCAGCAAGCAAGATGATGATACGTTAAAACATTTATTTCATTGTCTCATTTTCAAATCGTGACAGCTTTCACGGTCATCTTCAGCTGTCTCCCGTGTGACTGTAAGGACCGTTGCACGTCCCCTCCGACAGGTGGCGCTGCGGAGACACGATGCACGATTCTCAAATCAAACATACAAACAATCAAAGTGTCCCGGGTAAAGAGACTCTGAGGTAATCCTGCAGAACACTATATAGATGCTGGATAAATATTCCCGCTTTCCATTAGCAAAATATATTGAAAAGCCAAAAGCGGGGAAATTAATAGAATTAGTTTCAATTTGTTTGTTACTTTCATGTCTTATTAATTTTTTTCTCCCCCCGGCATGCTGTGCTTCTGTCATTACCTGTATGCAACTTATTTCATCCTTTGATGACACCGTGACTTAACGTCAACAAGCGACTCGCAGGAAGGGCGCGTGGCGGCGCGGGTGACGCCGCTGCAGCAGCGGACGCGTCTGACCTCCCACCCGGAGGAGTGGCGTTCACAAAAAGGACGGTCCGGCGGACAGAGGCGGCCGCACGCGGAGCAGCAGTGGCCCCCGAGCTGTTGGAAGCCGCCGACTCGTCCACCCTCAACGCGCACCCGGAGGCCGGGGACGAGCAGAGCAAGAGACAAACGGCGGGTACACGCGGCGCGCACCGCCAGGGGTTCCACGACTGCGTTTTCTCCGGGCCTCGCGCGAAGTGCGTCACCGCGGCGGTATTCCGGGTCCTTTCCGTGCCGCATGTCACCGGTTCATCACGACGTGGGGCCACTTTGCCCGTGCGCGTGGCTCCACATCTGTATTGAAACTATTTGGCATCGATCAAAAAGTCGGGCTCGCGCGTAAATGCGCAGCACGAGCTCGTTTTGTTTTGTGACTCTTTGGGTCAGTCGGTCTGAATTACTACAAACTGCCACTTTCTGCTGTCTCTCAGTAAAGTGTGTGTATCATACATGCTGTATTTATTATTATTATTATTTGGATTGTGATCATATTGCGCTGCATTGTGTTTTTGAAGTCAATCTGGGACCTTACAGCAGACCCGTATTAAGTCCTCCAGTGATTGACTCTCATTTGTTCTTTTTTTCTCAGGTCGAGCATCAGCAGCCTCTCAACTCATTCACTGAGGAGGTTTATCTCACCAACCAGAAGAGATGAGCAGCGGCAAGAAGTAAGTGACCACCTCAAGCTTTATACGTGTGCAGAGCTACTTGACCTTTTTAAATGAATTGATTTAGGCACTCTTGTGTGTAGGTGAGCATGCAAACGGCTACAAGTGCCCAATAAAAGGAGTAACGATTGCTTGTAGATGCACTTCACGAACAAGTAGTTCGGCAATGAAGCTGATGTGTTGCAACATGGTGACATTCACGCTTTAAAACTCACCTTTCGTACCATTTAAAGTGAGCATGTAATGTGCTTGTTGCTTAAGGACCCCCCCGTCTGTATATTCAAACTACACAGGGTTGTACATTAACAAAGTCCTTAAGGATCATTTGAAAGCTGACTGCGTTAAAGTGTAAGCGGGGTCGTAGCCCTGCGTGGACCACGGCGGCCTCAAACCATCACTTCTTGCTTCCCTAAGGAAGCACAACACACAGCTTGATCATCGAACCACCCTTAATGATCTTCAACTCGTCTTTGAAAGAGGACAAAAGATTCAAAGATTTTTTTTTTATTGTCATTTACACAATGTGTGTTGGAATTCTTGTGCTTGCCTTTCCGGAAAGCCGACCAATTTTAAAATAAAAGTAAAAATTAGAATTCAAAAGTCGTCAGCCAATTTCTCCGCCACCTGGAAGAGTTAAATTCAACCCATAATGTCAATCTTTTAAGGGTCAGTTGCTCAAGTAAAGTGCTGAAAATGGCTCCAAAAAGGTGTGAACAGCCGATTAAACAATTCAGGAAAACAATGCTAATGGCATTAATTGAGTGACTTGTCATGATGATATTGGCGGAACAATACGAGCACGTTAAGCCTCAGCTGATCCCGGCTCTTTTTTTTCCCCCCCGAGATGTGACCCTTAATCACTTTAAGTGGCCGGTGGGAACTTTTGGTTTTGGTCTGTGAGACAATCACCAAGAAACAAGGCTCTAAATTTCTGAAAAGCGCTGTCAGCCCCAAAAAGCCCAGGTGGCTGTCGCTTAACAAAAACCAAACGCACCCTTTCACTGTGCGGAGAAAGTTCCCGGGGAAATCCGATACCCGACGCCATTCTGCCGTCACTGTGCGAGGGGCTCTTTGCCTTTGCAAACTTGATTGGAGTACTTGATACCGGATATGTGACCCGGACACATGTGTTCCCATCCCATGCGTCGACACAGTAGATGTTGTATAGCCTAATAACACAGCGGGCGGGGGGGGGGGGGCCTCCAGGCGGTTGGATGTTTCCAACGCTTCGGGCAGACTGGACAACACGCTCACCTCTCCGAAACCGTCGCTCCTCACAAGGACGCCAGACTGATACGCTATCAGAGGAGTGAAGGGGAGCGCAGATAGCGGCCTACACACAATACATGCAAGCAACAGTGCAAAGGAACAGCTTGTCAACGTTTGATTGCTTTCACATCTTGTCATGAGGTTGTTGGAAGATTATCAACATTTACATAATTAAATGTATTGATTTAAAGGATTAAATCCATCCTCGAAACACGTTTACACCCTTTCCATCAAGGGTGTTGGTGGTTTGCGCGCCGTTTTGTCTGCTTTCCTTTTGTTACAGTTTAACAAGAAGCTGCTTTGTGCTCGTGAAAGGATTATAAATCAAAGAGGTTGTTTCAAGGATGTAAAACCACAGTAGGCAGAAGAGGGACCCGAAAATAGGTGTTTCACTATCAGAACAAATGCCAAGTCGACATTCAAACTTCTGTATAATATTCTAAAAAAGATATTGTGTAATCAATTTTGTTGTCAGTGTGACAAAAATACACTTTGATTATAGAGAAGTTGTACATTAAAGTCACCTCAGAAAGCAGAAACTCTTCCAACTAATTTGCCGACTCTTTATTTCGCGCTCCTGAAGTGGCTCTTCAAGCCTCCCAGCGGGTAAAAGAAGAGTCCACATAAAGATGCATAAAGATCCTCGTGCAGCGAAACCAAACTCTGCAGGTAGAAGTCAGATGATGAGTCAGTGCTTTTACATTTTCTGCTGTGCAGTGGTTTTATTGAGGCGTGAAAATATTTCTGGGAAATGTAGGAAATCAAGTTCTCAAGAAAAATAAATGAATGGCAAAGCTTACAATTTTCTCAACTTTACGAGTTATTTCCACGCAACAGTCGTGTAATAAACAAAGCATGAAGCGTTTTATTTTCTTGCCGAATCAGTTTACCTAGAAATGCTTTCCCCGCTTCCTTCTGTGTAAATATAGTGAGACCCGTGCAGACTGGTGAGGCAGCTCGGCCTGTTATGTCCGTAATTGTTCCATAGGTGGCATTGGAGGAGGTATGAAGGCTGGAAGCAGCAGGAGAGCTGGAGAAGTACAGAGATGAGAAGACCTCTGCTTGAAAACTGAGTCATGGTGCTGTTTAAAAAAGAGGAGTTACACTTCAAAGTTAAAGCTCCACGAGATGCTTTTCATCAGTGAAAATTCAAGTTTCAGTAGGACCAAATAGCTCCTTTAAAATCTAAGGGATGTGAACATAATTTCCACAATTTCCCCTAATTTTAACTTCATTATATATACATATATATATATATATATATATATACATACATACTTGAACAAATATTCAAGTTCAGTTAGTGAGAACAGCTCCTTTTCCACCTCACAGGTGTGTACTGGACAGTTGTTTGTCCACACACAGAGCCGTCACTGGGTCAGAACCACCAACAAGTGTTTCAAAACAAAACAAACTGAATGCGCAGAACTACCTGTAAATTCATGCATTCATTTTTCTCAGAGCTGAAATAACACCACCCCCCCCTCTCTCAACTCTTTGCGGCGGCGCGGCGGCTTGGAGAGCGGCGGATGCTCTGATGCGCCGGCCTTGCTGCGGCCTCCCGCCAGTGTTGTCTTTAAAGTAAAGCCGGCGTAATCCTGTAAGGGGGATGAGACAGACATGTGATGCCCCACTTGGGTCTTAGGAGGAGAGGAGGGGGGGGGCTGGTAGGCATTACCGGCCAGATGGAGAGGCTTTGTGGGGTGTGTGGGCGTGGGACTGATTAGCCACACTTACCGATACCTTTTTAGGACCCTCTCCCCACCCCCATGGCCCGGTATTGAATTAGCATCCCCTTGAATCGGTTCCCGACAGACGAGGTGTGTCCACAGACGCACTCGGACCTCGGCGGGTTCCAGTCTCAGCCGGTCCGGGTCGTCTTTTGGATGGTATTTTTAAGCATGAGCAGACACAGTCACTCAATTAGCAGCGACTTCCTGCCCTCACCCCCCTCCGGCAGATTAAATCCGCTCCACCGTACCTATCCGCTGCGCGCTTTGCTGGACGGCGGTTTTGCTGCGCTGGGACGCGGATCTTGAGGCGCCGTGTCCCCCGATGAGCCTTTAATGGGCGGCGATGAGCGCCACCAGCAGCACCAGACTGAGCCCCAGTCCTAACTCGCTGCAGGTGAACGAGCCAAAGCGCTATGGCTCCACGTTGTCCCTGGAGGAGAAGTGTGAGCAGTCTCTCTTCCTTTTCTATTACTACAGGATGGAGGACGAGGCGGTGCTGGACCGGGGCGCGTCCTTACTCAAGCACCTCTGCGACGAGGAGGAGGTCGAGGGTGAGTTCACCTGTTCCTGCAACACTCGATTTCTCTGCATGTGATGAAAAAACATGGTCTTGTCTTTCCTCCGTGTGATGTGGACCGCAAAGCTGTAGAGACACGGTGTCTTTGTGGAAGCTTTTTGCAGAGCAGTAGAAACGCTCCTAAAGTTCCTCAGACAACACAGAGTCGCCATTTGACACTTTTTCTGAACTGAAGTTCCTCTGAATGGATTTGTCCAAAGCCGAGAGAAACAGGAAGGACCTCCTTCAGCCTCGAGGCTGTAGAACCCAAGATGATTTAGAACACAAGATGATTTAGAACACGAGATGATGTAGAACACGAAAACGAGACCGATGTAGAACACAAGAGAGATGTAGAACACGAGATGATGTAGAACAGAATAGAGATGTAGAACACAAACGCGAGAGATGTAGAACACGAGATGATTTAGAACACAAGATGATGTAGAACACAAGAGAGATGTAGAACACGAGATGATGTAGAACACGAGATGATGTAGAACAGAATAGAGATGTAGAACACAAACGCGAGAGATGTAGAACACAAGATGATTTAGAACACAAGATGATGTAGAACACAAGAGAGATGTAGAACACGAGATGATGTAGAACACGAGATGATGTAGAACACGAAAACGAGAGCGATGTAGAACACAAGAGAGATGTAGAACACGAGAGATATGTAGAACACGAGATGATGTAGAACACAAGAGAGATGTAGAACACAAACGCGAGAGATGTAGAACACAAGATGATTTAGAACACAAGATGATGTAGAACACGAGAGTGATGTAGAACAAAAGAGAGATGTAGAACATGAGAGAGATGTAGAACACTAGAGAGATGCAGAACACGAGAGATGTAGAACATGAGAGAGATGTAGAACACGAGAGAGATGTAGAACACGACAGAGATGTAGAACATGAGAGAGATGTAGAACACGAGAGAGATGTAGAACACGAGAGAGATGTAGAACATGAGAGAGATGTAGAACACGAGAGAGATGCAGAACACGAGAGATGTAGAACACGAGAGAGATGTAGAACACGAGAGAGATGTAGAACACGACAGAGATGTAGAACATGAGAGAGATGTAGAACACGAGAGAGATGTAGAACATGAGAGAGATGTAGAACACGAGAGAGATGTAGAACATGAGAGAGATGTAGAACACGAGAGAGATGCAGAACACGAGAGATGTAGAACACGAGAGAGATGTAGAACACGAGAGAGATGTAGAACATGAGAGAGATGTAGAACACAAGAGAGATGTAGAACATGAGAGAGATGTAGAACACAAGATGATGTAGAACACAAGAGAGATGTAAAACACAAGATGATGTAGAACACAAGGGAGATGCAGAACACGAGAGAGATGTAAAACACAAGATGATGTAAAACAGAAGAGAGATGTAGAACACGAAAGCGATGTAGAACACAAGAGAGATGCAGAACACGAGAGATATGTAGAACACGAGATGATGTAGAACACAAGAGAGATGTAGAACACAAACGCGAGAGATGTAGAACACAAGATGATTTAGAACATAAGATGATGTAGAACACAAGAGAGATGTAGAACACGAGAGTGATGTAGAACAAAAGAGAGATGTAGAACACGAGAGAGATGTAGAACATGAGAGAGATGTAGAACATGAGAGAGATGTAGAACACGAGAGAGATGCAGAACACAAGAGATGTAGAACACGAGAGAGATGTAGAACACGAGAGAGATGCAGAACACGAGAGAGATGTAAAACAGAAGATGATGTAGAACAGAAGAGAGATGTAGAACACGAAAGCGATGTAGAACACAAGAGAGATGTAAAACAGAAGATGATGTAGAACACGTATGTATCACCCTGTGTTTACCTCACTGATCCCCAAAAGACCTACAGGACACACAGAGTCAAAGTTATATTTGTATTTTATGGGAATGTTTATAAATAACAATGAATCAAATAAGACATTTTAATTAGACATCATAGTGAAATGCAGAATTCTATTTAACCAATTTAAATAAATGTAGTTTTCTGGGGATATTTTTTCCAAATGGAAGTTTTCTCCTTTTACAAATAACGCAATCAAAGGGATGTTCAGTGATCTTTTTGTTGTTGTTGTTGTTGTAGTTTCTTTCTTTTCTCGTCCCAGTGTAGAGATTTCCCACCTTCCCACAACGTTTATTTGTTGTATTTCTAAAAAAATATTTATTTCACGCTGCCTTTCTCTCGTACGACCAGCTAATTGGGGATTGATTCAGTGATCCTTTCTAAGTTCTCTCACAACTCAAACTGTCCTCGATGCCTCTTGTTGCCTCTTGTTGCCGAGGAGCGCGGGCAGATTTACGCGCTGACGACCTCAACCTGCACCCGACATCACGGGTTCCAACTGATTAAAGCGCCTGGGATGGAGCCAGTCCTGCCATCCAGGATCCTCATGATTTGTTTTGGTTCCTTGGCGGAAGTGCTCAAGAAGGTTCCATAGCGTGCCCTTTGTTGAGAACATAATGTACCCTCAGACCCTCATTCATCCTCTTTAAATCACTTTAAATCTGTACTTCGCACCTATTGTACATGCTGCTTTTTAACGGATGACAATGGCTTTAAAGAGAGCTTGTCAACACAGCAGCACAGGGTGATAACTCTTATGCAGGGCCGACTCTTTGTAGCAAATGGGCCAAAACGTGATCCTTAGTGGTAGTTGAGATTTTAAAAAAAGTCAACGTTGGATGTTTTCACTGCGGTGTGACTCGCGCCGCAGGTCAATATTTTGTCCCCTCCAGCTTCCTGCGGGCGAGCGGCGTCCCAGCCGCGTCCCGTCCTCGTCTCCTCGGCCTTCTTTCCCGCTGCTCGCTCAGAGCTCAGCTGATGAGAGAAGAGACGAGGGAGCGTCTTACGTCGTGCCAGATAAAGGTCCGGAAGAGGTGGCCTTGATTATCTTCGTCTGACGCTGATAAGTGCGTTTTATCACTTGAGCCAAATATCTGGTTCCTGAAGTCTGCGTCACAGACCCGATGGGCCTGTAAACACCGGCATCTTGTGCGACACCTCAGGGGAGATGTTTGTATTCCCGTGACGTAATCCAAAGTGTTACGGTTTAGATAAGAGGACGGTGGACACGTCTACCCCCACTAATCCCATTAGTGCATACATATTTTTTAAAGGCTGCTTTGCATTACCGCGGCTGTCAGCGCTGCGTGGCGTGTTGCCATCCTCCCCACTGGTCTGGACCGGCCCCAGCGCCGCGGTTACTGGGGGAACTGGCGGTGGCGTTGCCTCTCCTCAAAAATCCAGCGAGCTGAACAAACCTCCCTTCCACACACACAAGGATTTCATTTCACTTCATTCAGCGTGTGCTCACAGGCGGCTCCAAAAGACCTTCTTCTTCCAGGCCGAAAAAAAAAAAAGAGAGGAGAGGAAGTCGTTACCCAATCGGCTCTGGCAGAGTGCAAATCTCCCTTTCCAGCCGCTTGACTCGACTACTTTTTATTCCCGTTTCGCCTCCTTTCTCGTTGCCGTCCGGCCTGTGCGAACGTCTTCACGCTGGGGGTTTTGTTGCTCATCGATCAGGCCCGATGGCACCGGGTCTCTGTTCTCTTCCATCTGCTGCCGGGTCCTGCTGTAATGTCCTCTGTCTGCACGTGGGACCGCGTCTTTGGTTCCACTCTGAGGTCCCTTAATGAGCTCCAGTGTAAAACTGAACAGAATCATGCCGGGCTTTTGTGTCGAGCTATTTCAGCTCTGCAGTTCACAAAGTGACTGCTTTAACCGCCCACTGGCACATATCGTTCGGTTATATTAAAACTAGCTTCAGACCTCCAGTCCTAACATGAAATTGTCTAAATATCTTGCTCCGGGCCTTTTCTCTACTTAAACCCCACCTACAAGATGCCGTCACAGAGCCATTCCTCTCTTGAATCCAAGTCCCAACAACCTCTGTCGGAGGCCCGTGTTTTGTCTTGGGACTATTGATCTGGTGTTTTCGGTGTTATCCTCGTAAACACTGGGCCATCCTCGTCCCCGTTGAGCCGGAGGTCCGCTGTGGGTAGTAGCTCTGCTGCGGGCGATGCGGGCCTTGAGGTTACCAAAATAGACCAGTGCACTGAAAATGGCCGAATACTTCATAGTTTTTATGTATTTCTCTCCATAGAAAGCTTTTATTTTGGCAGGACCATCCCTTTGACATTGAAGGTACATTCCCCGCTCTGATCGATGCTTAATCATTTTTATAATCTTGCATGCTCATGAAATAATCTAGTAGCTCCGATAACTGAGTAAATACTGATATGCAAGATTAACTCTGTCTTTAATTTATTTCAAGTGTAAATTTATTCAAAAAAACAATGTGCGGTACTTGCGTTTTTCTCTGTGGTTTTGAGAACGTTTAATCAACAACAATTTTACAAACTGCAAGCCGCTGTCCGATTTCCAGTATTGAACAAAAGGCTAATATATGCTGAGTGCATTGGTTTAGTGTCCCATCACATTTTCAGGTGAGACGGTTAAAGCGTTTTAGACCTCCCTCGACTGCGACGCTCGCTGTACTTTGGTGTCGGGGAATTTAGATGAACCCCTAAAAAGAGAACAAAACGAGGCCTTGTGCTCCGGGCGAATAATGAGCGCTGTTCGTGCCTGAAGAGGGCTCATTGTTTGCGTCGTCGAGGGCTTCCACCACTTCCTGCTTGGGTCATGTGCTGTGCTCGGCTCAGCGCTGCCCGTCTGACACGGATCTCGTTAGGCCTTTTGTTTCAAGAGGACTTCTGGTGTTTAGCCCGAAAGGTTACTTCCATCAACACAACGGCGTTTCTGGAACTGCTCGTGGAACTTTGTTGTACTTGTGTAGAGCCAGAGCCTCCGTTTAGTGCCTCGGCGATGGTTCCTGATGCCTCACACCCGCTGCGGGTCGCCGATTCCAGTATCAAAAGTTCTCCCATCTGAAAACCATTTATCGCTTCATTCGTCTCTCCAATAATGCTGCACTCGAACAACAACAAGACAACAGCAATTATTTGCACATTTTGAAATTCATTAATCTCGATAAATGGCAATTAATGAATGTTGTTGTTACAATGTTGTTTTAAATGGTTGTTTTTCTTTTGCAAGAACAAATCTTACAAGTAATGAGTAATCACTTTAGAAAATGTGTATTTTAGACACTGTTGTTTAATCGTTAAATACAACACTACACAAATTTGATCATCTTGGAGGCGGAATTCCTACCAACTCTTCTAGCTACCTTAGCCTAGCAGCTAGCTTAGCATAGCAGTGCTTTGAGCGGTCTGTTTGACACGAGGAGTAATTCCTCTGCACAGTTCTGCTGTTTGACTTCCAATGCTAAAATTCTCTCTCATCTTTTGCCACGTCTTTCTCCGATGTAACCGACTGCGGCTGGCGGCCATTTTGTTTCTGCAGTCAACAAAGGCGCGTTGATTACGTCAAAATATTTTATACGTTAATCTCGACCACATTAATCGCATAGATTAACGATTATGTTGACAGCCTACAAAAAAACAACATATATCGGAATATCTCAATCAAAACTTTTTTTTTCAAATCATTTTGCATCGTATTGTGTTTGAATTTTTTTGTCCATCCCTTTTATATAACTGAGGTCAGGGTAAACGATGGAAATATATATATTATCATAGGGTGACCATATTTTAAAAGCAAAGCGGCACACGGAGGTGGACCACGAGTTTATGCACGCTCACATTTTCATTAAGGTAAGGGACAATTATTTCAGCTCTCTGTGCATCGCCCAAGTTATTATACAGCAAAACATTAGAGTTTATTTAATAACTGTACAATACTGCTAGCAAACATCAAAAGACTGCATTAGTGTAATATAACTCATTTAAAAATAAAGGAGGCGTTTGGACTGCATTGTGGTATCTTCTCTGTCCTCCAACACGATGTATCACGGGCCGGCGTGGATTCAGGTTCCACACCTTCACCAGTAAGTCGTCCGCTGAGTGAAGAACAAATGACCGGCCGTTTTGAAAGTAAGATGTGCGGCGAGTTGTCATGAAATCCACGTCCACTGGAACGACTGGACGCCACGTCTGGTCTGCTTGGCCCCCCGTTTACTCCAAACCTCCAAAGTTCACGTAGAACTGAGCGTCCTGTTGATATTGTGCCACCGATCATGCAGAGATTGTTTCACGGAGTTCATCCGTTCCTCTCTCTTTTAAACTCCTTGCAGGCCACCACACCGTCTACATCGGCGTGCACGTGCCCAAGAGCTATCGGCGGCGGCGGCGCCACCGCCGGAAAGCCGGCCAGAAGGACAGGAAGGAGCGGCTGACGGAGAACGCCTCTGACAAGTCGGACACCGAAAACAACGACGAGGCCAGCAACAGCATCCTCAAACCCCTCGGTAGGTGGTGATGGAGCCCGCGTCAGGTCGCGTCAGGGCTCCTGTCCGTCACGGCTGAAGGCTGCCCTCTTTTCCAGAGGAAAAAAAAAAAAAAAAAGCCCCGTGAGCCCCAAAAGAAGTTGCTGAGTCCACGGGAATTGACGCACGCGTCTCGCTGAGTGACGAGCGCGTTTGGACGGAGCGGAGTTTTTGTTCCAAGTAATGGCTGCTCGGGTGCGATTGTGCTTGTGCTGATTCGGGTCCCTTGCGTGCAGCCGGCGAGTGCCTTGCCGTCCTTTTTGGCCTTTGTCCTTGCTGGTAGACATAAGTGTGTCCCTCTCTGTGTGTGTGTGCGTGCCGCAAGCGTCGGCGTCGGTACGTGAGAAGTTCTCGGTTGACTGAAGCTTCCAGTGTCCCGTTGAAAAGGGGGTGGAAAGTGCGATCGGGCCTCGGGCGCCGCTGCGGCCCTCCGCGGATGCTCGGGACAAAGAGCTGCGGCCGGTTGGAGGGAGACGAGAGGAGGGGGGGGGGAGGTTGCATCGGGTTACTGACTCTTAACGGAGGTTTCCGCGCCATAACTGCGGCAGCTATGGTTAAAGAAGAAGCATTTTGCTGCATGGTGAAATTTGGACTTTTATTTCTTGGAAGTCTCCAAAGTCGATTCAAATTAGACAAACAAGAACTTGTTGACACGAAGGGTCACGAGCAAAAGAAAGTTGGGAAGCACACGTTTTATTTCCTTGACTTGGCGCAGAGGTGCACACGCGACGCAGGCGAGATGTCCGTGTGTGACAGCAGTCTTCTGCAAAGAAGTCTAAGGACGATAACGGGGCGGGCCGCCGCCATGTCGGGGCAGTGACGTCCTCTCTGCGCACGTGACGGGACAAGGGGACCAAAATACACCACAGGTGGATTTTTACAATTTGCACACATCGCTTGACGCGAGGGGATTGTCCTCTGGGACATAAATCCAATCAGGGAATATATATTACAGCCGGCCCATCCTGCTGCATTCAGCGCTGTGCTTCACACGGCCACAGTGACGTAGACGAGTTTCTTGACTCAATATTGTTATTATTATTATATTATATTTCAGCCTTTAGTGGATCCTTGTGTCTCCCCTTTAACATCTAACCTTCGATAACCCCTGAAACAGATTATCTGGCTACCGAGCATCTAGACGGATGTGTGAGGGAGGCAGTTGTAACCACCCGTGGGGCCATGAAGGTAAAAACTCTTCAGCCTCACCGCTTCATTTACTCACACTCGAGTCGATCCGCACAAGTTTTTATTTTGAACTGCCGACTGTACTCACAGATGAGATGGCTGGTAGCCGCCAATGTTGTGTTTGGAAGTCGTGTTTCCGGCTGGTGGCTGCGATTAAGTCCGACGTCGGATCTTGAGGAGATTTTCCCACCTGCTCAACATGTACTTTATTGATCCCCGGGGGGAAATTCAAGATCCTGCCACGAGCCTCGTTGCTGTCTCTTCATTCAGTGCATTAGTATAAGTAGTATACTTGTACTAATGCACCTCCGGTAGTATAAGTAATAACTAATGAATAATAACGTCATTGTTTCATTGAACGCCATTAAACATTAGTTTGAGAAACCAGACGAGTTGCACTAGAAGAAAAATACATTCCAAAGCAGCCGAATATCCATATTTAATTCTCCATAGTCAAATAATAAAAACAGAGACTCAAGTGATGGAGAAATATAAGTGTGTGTGTGTGTGTGTGTGGACAAACGTGTGCGTCAAAGTGAGAGCGACTGAGGACGCGTGACACCATGCACACCGCCGTTTGTCTGCAGTGTCACAGTGACATTCACCGTGAATGGAGGATCAGCTGCAGGGATCCTCCGTTCACGGAGACTGCCACTATGTTGGCAGGAGGCCGGCGAGCGATGGCGTTTTGTGTTAACGGTCAACACTTTGGCGCTCGTCGTCAAAGTCGTCACGGAATTAACGAAGCCGCAGCACTCAAACGAAGTCAAAGTGGGTTTGAGCGGGTTTTTTTCCGCTTTTTCCGCATCCCTGCAAAAGATAAGTAGAATCCAAGGATGAAGACCTTGTTTGTTTGGGTAAATGCAAAAAGGTTGCGGTAGAAGTGTGTGAACTGCGTGAATAGTTGTGACACTGTGGCAGGTTGCAGTGGTTGAATAGCGACGTCATCGTTCGGCCGCTCGCGAGAACCAACGATCATGACCGAGAAACGTAAATAGCTCATGTGATTAATAGAACTCATTTATATGGCAGCCTTGTTAATAATAAGTCATGCGAAGTAATTCATGGATAACACTTTGAACCTGGTTTTATGTCGTGAGACGCTTCTCTGTAGTCCATCGCTGGAGGAACATCACTAACAAGAAAGAGTCCATCAGAACTACGTCGCTCAGTGAAGGTGGAGTTGGATCCCCTAAACTCCACATGAATTCTCCTAACCATCTTTCCTCGACGTTTTCTGCAAATGTCAAGCAGTAGTGGTCAGAATAGACGTTAGGAGGTCATTTTTGGACAATTTGAATCCAGCCTAGCATTTCTACACACGTTCTTCAGTGTCACGGGAAGTGTTCAATGTTCTGGATGGAGCTTATTGTCATGACGATGAGTCTCGAACCCCCCGAGCAACGAGCATCTACGGTGTTCCTCTGCCCCTGTAGACTTATGTACTTGTGTAAATCATGGTTATACATCATTACACAATAGCTGAAAGGAGATGCAACACTTATTTCAATCTTCACCGTAATCGTACCGGCCGCAGCAGCAAAACTGCTTTTTCTAAATGAACTTCTGCCTCCACAGGTCAGTTAGCCGACCTGCACACCGAGCGTCACTCCGCGGCACCCGAACACTCTCGCGTGCTCCCCTTTGCCTGTGGGCGAGCGGCGGCGAGCGGCATCGTCGCTGCGCGTACAGTCGCCTTGGGTTTGTTGGAGGGGACGGGGGGGGGGGGGGGGCGTTTGCGTGGGATGCATGTCAAGGGTGGGACCAAACCGGCCTTCAGTGGCGGTCGCACTGAGCTTTCCGCCGGGCAGCGGGCATTCTTCCTCCATCCCCTATCCCATGAGCCTCTGCTTCTGGGACAAAGTCCTCTTTGTGTGCCCCCCCCCCCCCCCCCCCCCCCCCCCCACCCCCGGGAGGGCTCTTGGCTGGAGCACGCAGAGCTTTGAAATTGCGTTTGAACGCTGGGATTTTCATCTCTCCCCCTCACTCCCGTTTGCTTTCACTGGGCACTGAGCGTCACCCCTGAACCCGGCTCACCCACCTTCCTCCCAGCGCCGTCTCCGCGCCGCTCTGTGCTGCGCGGTACGGATGCTCTCCTGAACACACTCTAGTGGGTCAAAAAGAAGCCTCAGAGGTCACCCATTGAACTTGTTATTGTTATAGGGATCGGTAGATTATTTAAATGCTCATTTTATGCCCCATGGAAGCATAAAGAACGCTTGTGTGTGCAGAAAATGGACAGAAAGTAGCTGAATGCAGCTGTAAACAGCGTCAGGTGGCTTCTGCTCATCTTGTGCCAAAATGAAACGTGTGCTTCGATATCGGCTGTTCCTCCAGCGCGATGTCATTACGTTCATCTGACAGGAATCACAGCCAGTATCGTCACGTATATAAGAAACCGCCCCACCGCCCCTCTTCCAGCACGTGACTCTGTCCTCGCACCGCTTACTATTGTTTGCATGCACTTTGGGCCGCGCAGGTATTTAAAGCTTGTTTGAACTGTTTACTGTAATCAGCACAAATCACAGTGGATCAGGAGCGTCAGCTGAATGTGTGAAACGCACATGTAAATTATTCCACCCGAGGTGCCATTAAACAAGCTGCCGTGACTTAAGCTAGTTGCAGCCTGTGGAAATGTGTGTGTGTGTGTGTGTGTGTGTGTGCCAGCAGACAGCCAGTGCCCCCCCCCACACACACACACAACCACTAATCTCCCAGCTGCTCGTCTGGCCCGTACCTGCTGCCATCGCTGTGGTGCCGTGGAAAAACACAATAAGGGGAAACTGCAAGCTTTCACCTCATTTACCGTCTGACCGCTTACTGCTGACCGAATGCACGAATGACTCAACGTTTCTCTAAATAAATGTCTGAAAGGAGAGACCGCCCCCCCCCCCCCGCCTCATGCAGATATGTGCACGAGTTCTTCGTTTGAGAGCAGCACCTTCCCTCAGGTGGGACGTCGCAGCCTGCTAATCATTTATTTTCCGTGTACAAGGACAAACTCCCCAGGGAGGCGATTTTGTGAATTTTAAAGTGCACGCCTAGAGAATTTGGATGGAACGTCGATGGAGAAAATGTCAAGTCACGTGCTTTTACAGACGCCGACAAAGCGTGGTCAACAATACGGGCACCAGGCGGCACTGGGGGGGGGGGGAGGTTCCACGGTGAGAGGGTTCATCTCCCCCTGGACGGACCGCGTGGACCTCCTGGGAAGTGTGGGAAGTTTGTCCGTTCGTTATGGAACACTAATGGGAATCAGTCTTACATTCAGGATCTACTCTCTGCTGCCGCAGTGTTTGCGAGCTGTTATGTAATCACACCAGCCTGCTTTGTTATGATCGCACACACACACTCACACACTCTTGTGCCTCTGTGCTTGTGGGGACCCACTGAGGGTTTATTTGCACACTTAAAAACACATTAATTAACATTAATCCCAGTCATGCATGATGTGCAGTAGACGTTTTCTCTTTATTTACATATTAAATAGAGCTTTTCGCCTCGCGCGCTCTTCTTTGTGCGGCTGTTTGCTGACCACAATGATCTTTGTGTACGGTTTTTCTCCATGCACGTGAATGGGGGCCGCTTATTGTTTTGCTCACAAATTGAAAGTTCAAATAATGTTTCCACTTGGAACAAGCGTCGCATGGCTTCTAACCGCTTGCAACGCGCTTGGTTATCGCTCCTGTTGAACGCGCCTTTCGCTCGAGTTGGAACGCGGCGCCTCGGGCCCACAGAAGGGGCCGGTTCGTGGGCCGCTTCCTAATTGTTGATGAGGGGCTCCGGGGCAGCTTGCCAAAAGCCCGGGAGGCCAATGGTGAAGGCCTGTTCAAACAGTGCAGGGGAGGACCGGAGGAGAGTCACCGGAGGGGGGGACCCCTAAAACCCTCCCCGGCCCCCTCCCCACCGGGTCCACAAAGTGCCGGAGCCGGCAGCCGGGAGCGCCTGTCACTTCCACCAGAGACTCTAATGAGGGTTTAGCTGCTGCTCGGGGACTCCGGTGAGCTGCAGCTTGCCGACGGCTATCGGAGGAGCAGACGGAGAGCAAAGGGGGGACAGGTGTGGGGGGTGGGGGAGGAGGAGGGCTTGAAGATGTCCACCAACAACAATAACCAGGAGGAGAAGGAAGAGGAGGAAGAGGAGGTCATGGTGAAAATCCCACCACCTCCACCTCCTCCGGAGGTCACCGGGACGGCGCCAGCCGAGGAGGGGAAGCCGGCGCCCCGGCCGCTGCCCAACGGGCACCATTGCCAGCCTGTGAACCGCAGTATTTTTCCTCTCTCCGCAGTCTCGCCGGCAGCCGAGAGGATCCGCTTCATCCTCGGCGAGGAGGACGACGGCCCGCCGCCGCCTCAGCTCTTCACGGAGTTGGACGAGCTGCTGTCGGTCGACGGACAGGAGATGGAGTGGAAGGAGACGGCCAGGTAAGCGCCTCAAGACTCGGGGGGGGCTGAAGTGTGGAAACCTCCTCCGTTGACCTTCGTTTAATCATTGGGGGACAAGTCATCGGAAACTCCACAAATTTGCATTTGGAGGGGCCTAAAACGCAGCGCACAGGTCTTCACAGGTCTCCACAGGTCTCCACAGGTCTTCACAGGTCTCCACAGGTCTTCACAGGTCTCTCCTGTGTGGCCCACTTGAGGGGTGATTGTTACACATCATCAGCGTTGGATGGGTGAAGCTCTTTCAGGGGGAAAGTAGATCTCCGGGCCTCCAAACGAGTTGACCCGTTGTCATAATCTCACATTGCATCGCAGAGAAACGTCACGTTTTGGTTGAACTGTGCTGTCAAAATCTTTCAGTGTTCTTAGAAAAGGCTTTCGTCCATCCAGCCTCTCAATCCCCGAGAACATTGACATCTGATCTGTAACTGAGTCGTTAAAATTCAAAAATATGAAACTGTAGCCTGATAGTTTCACCTGGATTGGACCAAAAAAAAAAAATGCAAATGCATTTGAAAAAAATCCAACCCCTTAATTATCAAACACCACAAAGTACAGCGTGAAATGTAGAACGTGTTGTTGTTCTCTGAATATTCAATAAGTAACGTGCAAGAGAACAAAGCTGTGTTTATTCATTGCTCTATATAATTAAAAAAGGAGAAGAGGTTACATAAGAAGTTAAGAAAAGGGCCACAGTTGATGCGTACAATAGGTCAAACCAATCAGTCCTCCATCTTTAACGCCAGACTTATTATTCTGCAGATAACTGCAGAGATTAGGACCCGGTCCAAAGTCTCACCGAGTGGGTCCAAAGCGGATAAAAGATCTCAGAAGAGTTGGGTGCCGCCGGCTGTCTGCCAACTGCTATTTCCTGCAGCCAAAAGTGTCCAAATAAAACCCTGGAATAGAAACTGCTCAGCACCAGTTTCCCGTCTCCATGACTAGAAGGAGAAAGAGATTAAAAAGATACATGAAGGAAATAGAAACACTGCCTCAGAATCAAAGAACTCATTTATTTTTTCTGAACAAAACAAAGAGCTGAGTTCTGTCACATCGCCGGTCCGGATGAGACAAAAACGACAAATAAGAAGCTCTGCTGGTTCTACTGTTAAAGAAGTACTACCAGTATTTGAGCAAACACAGCATAGCATGTGGTACAATGCACACAAACCCACGTGTAGTACAACAACTATACGTATCACACAGTGTTGCTGGAATCGTGCTACAGTAAAATAACACTGAGAGCTGAATAGTGTATTGAATATACTGTGTAATGTGTACAACCTTGTAAACTAGAATATGTATTTGAGGTATTTAGTCCGCCGGGGAGACGATTTGTGTAAACGATCAGTTGAGAATGTTGCTTCTTCACAATAGTTGCTATTAGATTTGTGATGGTACATTTGTATATCAACGTCTTCTGACTCCTTTTACACAACTTTTGCACTATTTTCAAAGTGGTACGTGTGTGATTGTCTGTAGCTTTCCTCAGTTCTTCCCCCCCCCCCCCTTGGTCCTTCCAGGTGGATCAAGTTCGAGGAGAAGGTGGAGAAAGGAGGCGAGCGCTGGAGTAAACCCCACGTGGCCACGCTGTCCTTGCACAGCCTCTTTGAGCTGAGGACGTGCATCGAGAAAGGCACCATCATGCTCGACATGGAGGCCTCCACCCTCCCGCAGGTTGTTGGTGAGGGTCACTATCATTTTTCCAGTGAACGTCAACAACGTTCACGCCGCTGACGGAGGGCCTCCGTCACAGCTCGCGAGTCGGGCCGGTGCCGTGCGGCGAGTCGGGCAAAAAGAAAGTAGTTTTCAAACGGTCGCGCAGACACGTCCCGGCGCGAGGACGGTCAGCGCTGCTGGCTTTTTGTGCGGCTGAGGGGAGCCGGAGGAAGCGCCGCCCTCCCCCTCTCCACCCACCCCCGCCCGGGGAGTGATTAATGTGAGGTAATTGAGTGTGCTGCACGCAGCGCGCAGGCCGGGAGGAGCTGGGCCTCTCGAGCCGACCCGACGGATGGGCCATTAGCGGCGCTGTCCCTCCAACGGGGGAGGAAACCTGTCGCCGTTCGGGCTTTTCACCTTCTTCTTTAAAAAAAAAAGTGAGGTAGACAAAAGACGTTTTTTGATGCAGCGTTTTAATGAGGCCAGTGACGACTTCCTTGCAGAAGCGCTCCGGTCTCCTGTCTTTACAAGCATGAGGAGACTAGTTGTTAATACATTTAGGCCCTCAGGTTGAACGCTGCAGGATGAGGAAACCACCAACAACAAAAGGAACATATTTTTGAATGTCCAAGTTCTGGATGAATGGATCCGACGGCGTAGTTGGAGGCCCCGTTGAGAGGGATTCATCGCTGGCGGTTTTGTAGTTAAAGGTCATTTGGGGTTAGCGTGCTCCCAGACCATTCGGACAAATATTCCGTCTTATATCTAACGCAGAAGACCTGATTTTGGCGTTGAGGATTTGCTGGCTGTCCTTTTAAACGCGTGTTCCTTGGATCGCACGGAAGGCTTCGACGAGCCCCAAACTTTTTTAAACCGATTATTGTGCACGTAGTGGTGCGTTCCTCACGCCGCCGGTCGCGATGTCACTTCAGTGTCGTCTAACTCTCTGACGGAAATCATCCCGGTGACGTTCCCTCTTTCCTCTTTGCAGAGATGATCACCGACAACCAGATAGAGATCGGCCAGCTGAAAGCGGAGCTGAAGGACAAAGTGATGTACACGTTGCTACGGCGACATCGTCACCAGACCAAGAAGTCCAACCTGCGCTCGCTGGCCGACATCGGCAAGACGGTCTCCAGTGCAAGTAGGCTGTTTTCCAACCAGGAGAACGGTAATACCGGTGCCAGTTTGGTGCAGTCCTCTTTTTTTTTTTATTGAGATACAAAGAAAAAAACTAAATTGGCTGTTTACTCCAAAAGGGATTTAATTAGCTCATTACTTTCTTTGGTTTGGAGATAAGCGCAGTGTGCAGCACACTACGCCCCCCCCCTGCTGTCTGACAGCAGAACTATAGTACCTTCTACTACTACTACAGTGTAACTGTTGTACTACTACTTGCTCACTTAATCCACTCAACACGCTCATCTGGTGGGACCAACGTTTCCTAGATCTCTTTTGCTAATTCCCCCACAAAAATAATCACTCAGTAACACACTCACTGTGGGTTCCTGCGACATTTAATCATTTATCGCCTGTAAACAACAGGTGGACGTCAAATTGACTTCAGCTGTAAATCTCGACACTGATGAATTGAGTTCAGTGAATTGATTCATAAAGCGAGGTGATAAAAGGTCCAAGGCCACGTGAGTCATAATCGATGGGACGGATTTGACTCGTAGAGAATTACAGCCTCTGAAGTTGATGATGAATGAAAATGACATGAGTGACCTTAACTGTTTCATCTCACAGGACGGGCTGTCACTTTGCTTCACTGAGGGTTCTGCCTGACGGAAAAAAGCACAGCGAGAGCTGAACTCAAAGTCCCGCAAGAATAACAGAGGGATAAAAAAAAAAAAAAAAAAAAAAAGCCTAATTGGCCGTTTTGCTAAAATTGTAATCGCGGGATTAAATCTGACAGAAATATCTGTATTCTGCTGCATTTCAGGCCCCATTGAAATGATTTAATGGCTTCTGAATATTAGTCAGAGCTAAAAATGAATGAGTGAGCAGCTCGCTGAGCGGTGAAGTGACAGCTCTCATTCAGAAACGAGGCCTAACTGATGTTAACAGCTCGTCTAACGCCGCTTTGATTGCAACACATTGAGCCACTGGACGTTTCGCGGCGTCGGCAAGCTAATGAATCTGTTACCAGCCGCGGGTCGTTGGAAAGGAAAGTTATTTATTACCTGCCGCTTGTGGCGCAAGTTTACGACCTCCTCAAAAGAAAAAGCCCCTCCGCTGCGGATGGAAACATGAACGTCTCTTATCGGGCGCGAGGAGGCTCGCTGATAATAACGATAATAACATTTATATCCTGGAAACAAGGATAAAGTGCATCCTCCACTTTATTAAAATGCAGTCATCCTGTCCAATGACCCACGGCCTCCTGGTTCGGCGGCGCCTCTCACCACGCTCCTCTGCTCCCCGCCCAAAGAAATACAGAGAAATCCTCTTTTACGTAACTTTTTAACTGCTTGACTTTATTCTCTTAACTTTGGCTCAGTGGGGTTTTTTACTTCTTCTATCATCTCTCTTTCTCTCTCTTTCCCTTTTCTGCTGCACCGGACCGGGTCCGCTAACAGCTCGTAGTCCTCTGGAGACCTCTGTGACTTGCCTGTCGGGTCACATTTCAATGGAGGACTTGCAGTCCCAGAGGAGTACCAGCATGGACTGGCTCAGTAAGTCCACCGGACCCCAGTCTACGTTCACACTGCAGACCGCCGGCCCGGCCCTGGTCGAATCACGCTCGGCTTTCGTCGTCAGCAGTAAAGAGTTTAGGCTTTGAGTGAGGCATCTTTTAGGTATATATATAATTGTCTCACTGTCTTTCGTATGAACTGTGTCTCTCTGGTGACCCGGACAGCGAAAACAGTCAGAACCGGAAAGGTTTCCTCTGCAGTGTGAACGTAGTCCTGAAGCTGGGTTGCATCTGTAGTAGTACTTTAACTCCTTTATGTAGTAGTGACATTGAATCCCCCAAATCACAGATTTGATACTTTGTCCCTTATGGATTTCACTTTTTAATCTAGTTGTTTTTTTCCCTTTATTACTGCATCTATCCCAAATAAATAAGACTTTTATTTTTGTATCATTTATACGGGCTGCATCATACTGACAACCATGTTATTCCCCACAATCCTCAGGGGGGGGGGGGGGGCAGATGTATTAAGGGCCACAGAACTCAGGCTCCAGGACGTCACTGGGGTCTCGCTCTGCTGTCACATCGCCGACGAGCCGCAACCGAGAGTCAGCAGAGCGTCAATCAGAGTCTCGTCTTCTCTCCACCTGCACTCAGGGAAGGAAGACGTTGACGCGAGACGAGACCATCGGATAGAAAAGCTCTCGACCTCTTCTTCATCTTTACGCATTGAGGGCTGCACGCTGCTAGTTCATCAGCAAGTGTGGATGAAGAAGCGCGTTGAATAATAATAACAGTCGGGAAGCTGTTGTTGTGGTTGTTGTTGTTGTTGTTGTTGTTGTTGTTGTCCGGTGCTGCTTGGGGAGCAAACTGTCCTGGCCTGCTGTGTGTTCGCTTGGTCCTCTCGCGCCGCGTTCATTCCTTCCAGGAGTTTTTTTTTTTTTCACGTGACTAAACGTGGGGGGGCGGATGTGTTTTTTCAGATAGTCCCACCACGGCTCACCGGAACCTGACCTCCAGCAGCCTGAACGACGTCTCCGACAAACCGGAGAAAGAACAGGTGAGTCGGCCTGAGGTATTCGGCTGTTTCCGCAGTTAGAACAACGGCTTCCTGGAGTCTGATTCCGTTTTTTTGAAAGGGCAAAAAACAGTTTCACGTGTCAGATGAGTCTAATTATTACAGATCGTTTAATGACCAACATCAGGACAGAAACTAAGCTACAACTCAAATAAGTGACCCATCAATGTGTTTTAGTCTCATGCACAGTTATTGCATGTTTGGAGCGTAAAACAGGTGAAATGCGCCTCTTCCAGCACGCGTGGAACGCGGAATGAATCAAAGCGAGTAACGGCCTGAACATGCAGAGCTAGCGCGTTAGCATGAAGAAGCTAACGGAGGGGCGGACATTGAGTACAATGTTCCAACAACAGGCGGCCGTGCAACTGTGTCCAAAGTGCTTGTCCGGTGTCTCTCGTCTGGCGTCCACAATGTGCAGAGACCGTCCCTCTCGGGGTCCGCGTGCAGGACGACTCTTTTAGGCCGAGACGCTTTGACACAGAGAGTGGCCATGTGTTTAAGTTACAATAGAAAGCTGCTCACACGTTTGAACTCTCAGCGGTCACACCCGAGGACACGAGCCTTTGTCTCCGTCTTTATCAATGAGTTTCCATCTTGACTGGAAGCCAAAGTCCTGTCACTTCGTTTTACGGTCTGAGCAGATTTATTGCTTTACAAAGAAAGTTGTCAGAGAATTAGGACAGACAGAGCCAGTATGTCCTCCTATGTGAAGACGGAAAGGGACAGACAGAGCCAGTATGTCCTCCTGTGTGAAGAAGGAAGGGGACAGACAGAGCCAATATGTCCTCCTGTGTGAAGAAGGAAGGGGACAGACAGAGCCAGTATGTCCTCCTGTGTGAAGAAGGAAGGGGACAGACAGAGCCAATATGTCCTCCTGTGTGAAGAAGGAAGGGGACAGACAGAGCCAATATGTCCTCCTGTGTGAAGAAGGAAGGGGACAGACAGAGCCAGTATGTCCTCCTGTGTGAAGACGGAAAGGGACAGACAGAGCCAGTATGTCCTCCTGTGTGAAGAAGGAAGGGGACAGACAGAGCCAGTGTGTCCTCCTGTGTGAAGAAGGAAAGGGACAGACAGAGCCAGTGTGTCCTCCTGTGTGAAGAAGGAAAGGGACAGACAGAGCCAGTGTGTCCTCCCGTGTGAAGAAGGAAAGGGACAGACAGAGCCAGTGTGTCCTCCCGTGTGAAGAAGGAAAGGGACAGACAGAGCCAGTATGTCCTCCCGTGTGAAGAAGGAAAGGAACAGACAGAGCCAGTATGTCCTCCCGTGTGAAGACGGAAAGGGACAGACAGAGCCAGTGTGTCCTCCCGTGTGAAGACGGAAAGGGACAGACAGAGCCAGTGTGTCCTCCTGTGTGAAGAAGGAAGGGGACAGACAGAGCCAGTGTGTCCTCCCGTGTGAAGACGGAAAGGGACAGACAGAGCCAGTATGTCCTCCCGTGTGAAGAAGGAAAGGGACAGACAGAGCCAGTGTGTCCTCCTGTGTGAAGACAGAAAGTGACAGACAGAGCCAGTATGTCCTCCCGTGTGAAGAAGGAAAGGGACAGACAGAGCCAGTGTGTCCTCCTGTGTGAAGACAGAAAGGGACAGACAGAGCCAGTGTGTCCTCTCGTGTGAAGAAGGAAAGGGACAGACAGAGCCAGTGTGTCCTCGCGTGTGAAGAAGGAAAGGGACAGACAGAGCCAGTATGTCCTCCCGTGTGAAGACGGAAAGGGACAGACAGAGCCAGTGTGTCCTCCCGTGTGAAGACGGAAAGGGACAGACAGAGCCAGTATGTCCTGAATGAATCTGGGTGTTATTGTGGAATGTGGGTGAGGAGACCTGTTCTTTGGAGGAGACCTGTTCTTTGGAGGAGACCTGTTCTTTGGAGGAGACCTGTTCTTTGGTGGAGACCTGTTCTTTGGAGGAGACCTGTTCTTTGGAGGAGACCTGTTCTTTGGAGGAGACCTGTTCTTTGCATAAAAAGTCAGGTCTTGAGCAGGTTCTCGTGTCTCGGGTAATAAAGTTTGTGCCTCGTGTCCGTAAACGTAGTTTATGGAGGTGTCGATTAGCGCGGATTGGACCCTGGTCAAGGTGTGCGGCTTCGCAGGTTTAAACTTCTCAAATCATTTACAGACCAACGTCTTGCCAACGAGGCTCATTGGATCTCTTTGGGTCTGGCCAGAGGAAGGTCAACAGGTTCCTGGGACTTCCGTCCTCGGAGGTTACTGGCGGCGTCCTGCCAGCACGTGGTCGTGATGACACAAGGGATGGATGTTCTTTGAGCTCCAGTAATACTCGCTGTTCTTTATCCTCTTCACTTATTGTCGGCTGGCACCAGAGAGGGTGAGAAGTACGTTCGATGTGTCCACATTCAGAAGGCCCCTCTGTTGACAGTTTAATCGGAACACTGAATTTATTCCTGAACGACTACTTGAATCCGTGCGGTTTGTGTTGCCGACCTGCAGCTCAGTTAACTGGAGGAAATAACAGTCCAATTTAAATCCATGAGCCTGTCGGGACAACAAGTTAAATATTAACTTTCTGAATAACTCCTACCGCTTGTATTTATTTCACGATTGCATCATATTTAACATGAATGCGTTCATGTTTGTCGTAATACTTTGTGTGGAAACAGTCAGTTAATTGATGTGATCTGATACAGTATAATAAAAAAAACGAACTCAAGTGAAACTTCTACTTTGGGTGGATGTGAATGCAGAAATGTTGAAGGAACACAAGGTGCTGTTGCTACATCACTCCGTACATCTCCATGATGATGTTATTAATCTCATTCTGCTCATAAACATGCCACCGTTTTGTATTTATTCATTATGGAGTTAAAATGATACGTGATGCGAAAACCTCTCATGGATTAACAACATAGAAGAAGTGAAGCGATCGATGAATCAGAGGACAAAGGACAATGTAACCGGTGCTGGAAAGCGTCTCTTTAGAGACGCAAAGGGGGGGACTTCTGAAAGGTGAAACGTTCGAACCCGCGGAGCTCGGCAGGCGTCCGACCCCCCGTCTTCACCGTCGCCATGACGGGACCCAACACCAACCGTCCTTCCTCGGACACAATGGGGTTTGGTCCTCAAGCTGACTGGGATTGTCCGCCGTGATATAGCTTCTTTAATAGTGCCGGGTAGCTTGCTGGTGTGAACGTAGCATTTAACGTCCCCCCCTGCGTCCCTCCTCCCCCTGCGTCCCCCACTTTGTACTTTCAGCTGAGGAACAAGTTCATGAAGAAGTTGCCGAGAGACGCCGAGGCCTCCAACGTGCTGGTGGGGGAGGTGGAGTTCCTGGACGCGCCGTTCGTGGCGTTCGTGCGTCTGCAGCAAGCCGTGATGCTGGGAGCGCTCACCGAGGTCCCCGTCCCCACCAGGTAGACCCGAGACGCACGCCTGCGCCCGATGTCGAGGGACGCTTTCGGGGGCAGGGTTACCGCGGAGACCGTCGTGGTTTTCTCGGGGAGGATTTGAACTCATCTTTTACGGTTTCACACAGAATGTCAGAGAAGATGTAATTAAATCGTTTATCAGGGTAATGTCACCTTTTAATTGTAAAGTAATCATATTATGAACTTATGAACATTCATTGTAAATACAAAACACTCATTTCTTAACAGCGTTTATTTTAATTTGTGCTCGGCACGGACAATTATCATTAATTCATTATTATTTTCAAAGTCCTTTTTTTTGCGTTTTATGACACTTTTAAGTAAAACCACAGGAGCGACTCCAAACTGTTTTAACTGTTGAAACCAAAGAGGCAGAAAGTTCCGAACTAGTAAATGTTGCGTGTATACATAGCAATGCCCATAGCAATTCTGTGCTATGGTTACACATCTAGTGCGTCACCTTTCACGGCCCACACTCGTGGCAGACGCGCACAATGCTGTGTACTGTATGCAGCGGCTTCCCTAATGACGACACTGCTTTGTGCTCGGAGTTTGTTCTCAGGTTTAGAAAGTTGTAGATGCCACATGGCAACAGTTTGTCGCGTAGATAAAGTAAAGCTGGCGTTAATCTTCACGCCGATTGCGCATATATTAAAGGTGTTTCGGTCGGAAGACGCAACGGCATCGCTAACGCAAACCGTTTTGTTGCATTTGCAGATTTCTATTCATCTTGCTGGGACCCAAAGGCAAAGCCAAGTCGTACCACGAGATCGGCAGAGCGATCGCCACGCTGATGTCGGATGAGGTTCGACGTCTCATCTTCTCACATATGTTTTAACGCTGAAAGCGAAAGACGCAGCCTCAGGTTTCACCCGCAATATTTACGCCTCAACGTTTACACAAAGTAGCCGGTATGAGAGGAGCCGACAGGCTTCTCACGCTATAAATAATCCTCTGTGGACCCATCGCTGTTAGATTGCAGCTGACATTGTGTTTCAACTGTCGTTATTTAAGCCGCACTTCATGGTAAGCTGTTAAAGTTTCATTTTCAGGGTTAATTTATCACCTTTTTACATTTGTGAACCCATTAACCCATATTAATCGCTTCACTGGCATTTGTTGTGTTGGTGCGTTGCGCTTTTGATGCTCGGATGTGACAAGTCTCTCTCTGTCCCTCTATGTCTCTCTCTGTGTCTCTCTCTGTCCTACCCGGACGCCCCCGTCCCTCTTTGTCGGCGTTCAGATCTTTCACGACATCGCGTACAAGGCCAGGGACAGACAGGACCTGCTGGCCGGCATCGACGAGTTCCTCGACGAGGTCATCGTGCTTCCCCCGGGCGAGTGGGACCCGGCCATCAGGATCGAGCCCCCCAAATCCCTCCCCTCCTCGGACAAAAGGTGGGGAAACAGTCGGGCTTCCGCTGAATGTGACGGCCGTGTCTTGCACGGCGTACGTCAAAGAGCAGGCCGCCAAATCCCCCCCCCCCCCCCCACACAAAGGTCCACCTGGACGCACGATGAGGGATTACAGTCTGATGGTCAGAGGTGAAGCTCTCTCACTGAGACCTCACAGACGTGGGTTTAAACTGCAATACTGACCAGTCGAGTCATACGGGGGAGGGAGCGTCACAACCATGCCATACAAGTTAGCATTAGCATTAGCCTCCCGTTAGCACCGGAGCTACTGGGCACGCCGGGTCTAGACTAAAGGTTTTTGGCATTTCAGTTCTATCTTCAAGGGAATAATAAAATAAAATAATTTTCACAATTTCAGTGAAATCTGTTCAATCTCATCGAGCCAGAATATCAGCTCATTCCTTCTTCTGTTCTTCTGCTTCTGCTGTCAACTTTAAATAAAGTGACTGAGTCCCCCTGATGACTGATGAATGTATGATGATATTTGGGATCACAATTAATACACCCAAACAAATTGATCGTGCTGAATGTCCATCGTAGGAATGAGTTGTCGATATCGTCACGGCTGGTCGTCTCTTCATCAGCTATCGTCGTATCAAATAACGGATCAGGACACATTCGGCCCTTGAAATGCGTCTCCACGCTGCGTTTCCCCCTCAGCAGGGTCCTCATGTTGAGAATAAAGAGATCTTATCTGTAATCACAATTGTTCTACAAGGTCCTCAGGCTGTGTATTAATCTGCTGGTCATTTATTAAGCAATTTACACACACACACACACGCCAAGGAAACCCTCCATAAAGACATGCATGGTTTAACCATAACACATTCTGGTGCAGAGTAATTCTGGTACCTCATAGTTTCAATAACAAAAGAGAATTCATTACTAGTTCATTTAAGAAATAGTTAGTGGGGAAAAGAAATGTGAAAGCGAGGGTGTACCGGTGTGTTCAATTATGAACGAGCAGCTCTGTGCGTTTAATTCAACGCTGCTGGTTTACTCGCCGAGGGAGGAACGTCTTGGATGCGCATTGCTGCGCGCGAGCGCCGATCAATAACTCATATCAACGTCTTCTGATCAGCAACACGAGAAAAGAGGCCGTGACAACATGCTGACACTTACCGGTGTGTATTTGGCGCCATCTAGTGGCGAGTTCCCAGATTGCAGCCGGCTGAAAGTCCCTCGGGGGACAAAACGTGTGCAAAAAAAAATACGGCAAACGACGCAAAAACACGAACACACAAAAAAAGGTCTTTTATTATCAGGGCCAGAACTAGGTTTGTCCATCCAGGGCTACTGTAGGTTCTGTACCCACACAGAGATATGCCACGTATGTAATAGATAAGTGGTAAAGTTCATGCCAGCCTGAACAAAACTGTATTTCTGTGTATTTTTAGGAAAAACATGTACGCAGGAGACTCTCAGATGAACGGAGATATGCCTCACGGTGGAGGTCATGGAGGAGGAGGACATGCTGCCGGGGACGAGCTAAAGAAGACGGGAAGGTATGACACTGTGTCTCTTTGTAGTCGCTCCTTGTCGCCACGTGTTTCCCTCTGTCGTCCTGCTAAACCTCTTGTCTCTCTGCCCCCAGGTTTTGCGGCGGTCTCCTGCTTGACATCAAAAGGAAAGCGCCTTTCTTCGTCAGTGACTTCACCGACGCGTTTCACATTCAGGCCTTGTCGGCCATTTTGTTCATCTACCTTGGAACCGTCACGAACGCCATCACCTTCGGCGGTCTGCTGGGGGACGCTACGGAAAACATGCAGGTCGGCCCGAGGATTCGAACCTCTCAGCAGTTAGTTTGCCACCTTCCGCCCCCCCCCCCGAACCCTCTCCGCTGAATGCTTCCCCTCGGTGTGCGCAGGGCGTGTTGGAGAGCTTCATGGGCACAGCGCTCACCGGCGTGGCGTTCTGCCTGATGGGCGGCCAGCCCCTCATCATCCTCAGCAGCACCGGACCCGTCCTGGTGTTTGAGCGGCTGCTCTTCAATTTCAGCAGGTGCCGTCTCCACACAAGTCACTCAGAGTGTCGGGGGGGGGCCAATGTGTAGTTTCATTTAAATTCTCCATCTCAGTGAACGGGACGCCGGTCTGTCAGCTTCCACGTGTCCGTACGGGAATATCATTATTTTACAAACGTTTTGATTGAAGTAGAACAACTGTAGGGAGCTTTTTCTACTGTTCCATCGTTAGGGTTCGGAAAGCGCTCGTCCTCACTCCTTTGTTCTCGTCCCGGCCGGAAACGAAGATACAAAAGAGTCAGCTTGCGTAAATTCAAAAATCAAAAAGTATTTAATAACTAAACAACGTTATTAGTAACACAATTACAAAGTGAAATACAAAGCGAACGGTAAAATATTTCGCGAAATAAAGAATCCTCTCAAAGCGGCTGCAGGAAAATTCAAACAGTCCTTTCCCCGCTTTGGTCCTTTGAAAACTCTTCTTGGGTGCGTTTGAATGTCATTGGCTTCTTCTTCAGAGTGTCCCCTCCTTCATTGTCCCCTTCACATCGAGGTGTGAAGCTGCAGCTGTAACCTGAGACCTTCTCGGTCCTATTTGTCCCTCACATTCCAATGCATTCAATGTAGAGACAGTTGGCTTTATGCCTCAATGAGTGAATATAACAAAGCATGCATAGTTTGTCTTCATCTTATAACTAGTACACCCTAATTACAACACGTCATTAATGATCCCCGTTCATCACACTTCATCATAAGATCTAAGACAGTTCATGTGGTCCAATTCTCAAGACATTTGCCTCAGTCGGCTGCCTTACATTAAGTTGTTCATTTACTACCTGACAGGAGAAAAAACTCCCAAAAAACCCTCTTTGGGGGATAAAATTGGGAGAAATCCATAAAGGACGGCAACTAGCATCCGTCCCCAGGTTTTAACATCACATTGTGACAGAATGTTAATGTGTGCAGTGTTTATATGATTTAAATGACCATGAATTGTGTTTGATTCAAATTGCATTCACTTCATCTCACATGTTAATGTAATAACTATATAATTTATAACACTAAACATTATTACACATACTATAACTTCCATGACTAGGGGTGCCCTTCTGGCTTTAATCCCTAACACTGTGCCCTCTAATGTGTGTGTTCATATGCGTCGTGCTTCAGAGACAACTCGTTGGACTACCTGGAGTTCCGCCTGTGGATCGGCCTGTGGTCGGCGTTCTACTGCCTGATGCTCGTGGCCACCGACGCCAGCTACCTGGTTCAGTACTTCACCCGCTTCACCGAGGAGGGCTTCTCCTGCCTCATCAGCTTCATCTTCATCTACGATGCCTTCAAGAAGATGCTCAAACTGGCCCACCACTACCCCATCAACGCCGACTTCAAGATGGAGCACGTCACGCAGTACGACTGCCTCTGTATGGCGCCGGCTGTTCTCGGTGAGATTCATCTCGTCTTCTCGCGGAGGGCCCGGTTCTTAGTATCGCTACACTGGAGCCTTATGTCCTGGTTTTCTCACCTGGTTCTTTCGTTGAGCTTGACAACAAGCAGAGTGTACATGTGTATATACACTCTGCAGACGGATGTTAGAAGGAAGGTGATCTTATCGAGGAAGGTTTATTTTGTTTTTTTGCAGAGAACACGACGGACTTGGTCGACAATCCACTGGACGGTTCTTCGCCCTGGTACCTGAACACCACTGATCTGGTAAGTCGTGCACGTTATTGTTGTTCTGCTTTGAGAAAACAAATGATGGAAGTATATTATTTAATCGGCATCAGTATTTTGTTCTTGCGGCAAAATGAATCGCATCGATAGTTTGTGATCCATCATCAGTGGTGGAAGAAATACTAAGATATTTTACTTAATTAGCATTGAAATATTCAATTGTAATATAAGTCCTCATCAACAGAATGGCCAATTTTAGAATCAAATACATGACGTTGTTGGAAAATAATAAGTGAAGCATTGCTGATAAAGATGGAGCGTATTTCAACTTCTTAGTTGTGTTGTATTTACATTTTAACAACACAAATCTGCAGTAACTAATAACTAAATAATGCAGCATAAAATGGTAAATTGTATTTTACCGACTTTGGTCTCGAATCACATACTAACCACAGGCAGGAACATAAACGATAAAGTTGAAGAACGTGCAGGATGATGTTGCCGGGGAATGAAGCGGTCCGATAAGCTTCTGCTCTTTGTTTCCTCCGCGCAGCCCATGAACGCCACCTGGTCGTCCCTCTCAAAGTCGGACTGCTTGAAGTACAACGGCGAGCTGGTGGGGAAGGCCTGCGAGTTCATCCCGGACATCACCCTCATGTCCTTCATCCTGTTCTTCGGCACCTACACCTGCTCCATGTGCCTGAAGAAGTTCAAGACCAGCCAGTTCTTCCCCACCAGCGTGAGTCGCCCCCCCCCCCCCGGCCGAGCCAATTCCGCCCCCCCTGCAGGAATGAGGCGTTTTTTTTACACAGCGACAACTGTGTCAAGTGTTTGTGTCCTCGTCCGCCCAGGTGAGGAAGCTCATCAGCGACTTCGCCATCATCCTGGCCATCCTCATCTTCTGCGGCGTCGACATGCTCGTCGGAGTCGAAACTCCCAAACTCATCGTGCCGAGTGAATTCAAGGTGAGTCCCTCGCGTCGACTTTGCACGATCCAAGCGCACTTGGGCGATCGCGTGTAAAGCGACTCGCGTTTCATCTCTCTGGATGAATCCATCTTCCTCCTCCTCCTCCTCCTCCTCCGCAGCCGACGAGTTCCAAGCGGGGCTGGTTTGTGCCCCCGTTCGGAGGGAACCCCTGGTGGGTTTACCTGGCGGCGTCCCTCCCCGCCCTGCTGGTCACCATCCTGGTCTTCATGGACCAACAGATCACCGCCGTGATCGTCAACAGGAAGGAGCACATGCTGAAGGTGGACGGAACGATAAGTGTCGTCACTACGTTAACACGGGGGGGGGAAGGGAGGGAGGTCGGGGAGAGTTTGGGACTCATTTGTGTTGATTTCTCGGGCTGCAAACGGGATATCGCGTAACGGTCGGTTGCCACATTTCTGAAAAGCCTTTGACTTTGCGGCAAATATGTCAGAAAGCGAGTTGCTGCGATGTGAGACGCAACGAGGTTCGTGTGAAGCGGGGATTTTCATGGCTTTCCCACAATTTACGGCAGCGCGCACAGGACACTGGATACCTCCACACTGCGGTTAAATGTGGTTGTCATTCTTCTCGTGGGGGTGAGAGATGTTTCGTGGCAGTGAAGCCCTGAAATGTCGTCCAGTTTTTGATTTTTTTTTCCGTCTCTTCAGAGAGAGAACACCTCAGCAGCAGTGATCCAAAGGGCCACATGACCTCTGACCTGCTCTCTGTTGTCTGCACCAGAAAGGGGCCGGTTACCACCTGGACCTGCTCTGGGTGGCCATTCTGCTCATCATCTGCTCCTTCATGGGTCTGCCGTGGTACGTGGCCGCCACCGTCATCTCCATCGCCCACATCGACAGCCTGAAGATGGAGACGGAGACGTCGGCCCCCGGGGAGCAGCCCAAGTTCCTGGGTGTGAGGTGAGAGCCGTCCCGCGCTCTCCACGGCGCTTCCTCTCAGTGTCCATTTTTATTATACAAAAAACGATCGATCTAACAGCGCGGACGGAAAACAATAGCAAGAGAGGACGAAAGGCTCGTGCAGAGTCTCCCCGTGTTGCAGATAAAACAATAAAACAGACTGAACTGTGTCGGACACCTTGACCAAGCACACATTTAGCAGAAATGTAAAGGCTTAGTGGCTCCATCGTGTATTTTGGGGGGGTTTAACAAGGGGGGACGTGGAGGACGTTAGATTGTCGGATCTGGCGGGAGTGAAGACCTGGACTGAAAATATCTCCAGAGAAGTTTAGAAGCGCTTCCAATGTTGCAAACTAATGACAAATAAGTATTATACTGAGGTCAAATATAGATTTTTACTTTAAATCCCAAAGGCATCATAGATATTAAATGCTTAAGTGTTGATTATCTTACAAGAGGCGAGTGAGTCGATTTCATCTCAAGGGGAAAAAAGGGAAGTGAAGCCGCGTGGAGCGTTTTGTCTGTGACAGCAGGGTCGCATTTCTTTAACACAAGTAAAAACAGCCTTAGTGACTCACGCCAATATTTAATATTCCATATTAGAGGATGACTGAGAGTGAAAGAGTGCTGAACGATTAACGCAAACAATAATGATTGACCAAAAACGCGCTTCAGGAGTGGTTCAGTGTGTAGAATGTGGTCTGAGAGGTCCTCTGTTAACACGAAATAACCCATCGGAGGTCACGAACTCGGCTGCGATCCTCTCATTCGAGTGCTCAAAGGTTTGCCGTTAGACCGCGAATCCTTTACGGTAAAACACTGTCAACTTTCGAGCGCCTCATCGGTTCTACTAAATCACAGCAATATTATCGTAACCTCGGTTGTGTGTTTTTTTTTGAGTGAATCAGTGTGAAGACGCGTCGGGATTTTCTTCCTGTTTTTAGAGTTTTGTTTGTCCGGTGTCGTCCCGCGGCGCCTCCCCCCCCCTCCCCCCCGATGGGTCAGCTGTGAGCTGAACCAACAAACCCTTCCTCACACTCTGACCTCGCTTCACGTCGGGGCTGTCTCTGTTTTTGGCTGAACTCAACGAGATTTGGGGAAATTGTTCACATCCACATGTTTTCTTGGACTCTGTGACCATTGTTGTGGGTGAAACATCACTGGAATTTAAACCGGTATTTCAGTTTTGTTCTTGTGTTTAGCTGTGATTTTGTTTTCCCGCAGAGAGCAGCGGCTCACCGGTGTCGTCGTGTTCATCCTGACCGGACTCTCTGTACTCATGGCTCCTATTTTAAAGGTAATTGTGTTGTTAGTCCCCAATATTTTCATCCCTCCGGAACGACCCTTTCATGAAAAGGTTTTGGGTTTTGAATTCTGTATCAGTCCGTTCCACAAACACTAAGCTCTCCGTTTCCCAGGTCAAAGGTCAACAAGATCATTTGTCATTGCGAGTTGTGGTTATTTGGCATTTCGGCGAAATTCAAAGTCAATTTGTGGAACGTGAACCCGGTTACGGTCCGTATGAGGCCGAGCAACGAGCTGTTTCCTCCCACTCCCTTTGTGTTATGAAGTTAATTTAAGATGATTCTCTGCTTTAAATGTTCATCCCTCGACGGGGCGAAATGGCTGACGTGTCTGTTTTCCCACAGTTCATCCCGATGCCGGTGCTGTATGGAGTCTTCCTCTACATGGGAGTCGCCTCTCTCAATGGAGTGCAGGTAAATTATCCAGTTTCTCTCTTCCTCCTCTGGTGTTCGTCGACGCGCCGCATCCTGTGACGCGTATCCTTGCACCTCTCCCCCGTCTGCAGTTCATGGATCGTCTGAAGCTGCTTCTGATGCCAGCGAAGCACCAGCCCGACCTGGTTTACCTGAGACACGTTCCCCTCAGGAAGGTCCACCTCTTCACCTTCATCCAGATCCTCTGCCTGGCCCTGCTGTGGGTCCTCAAGTCCACGGTGGCCGCCATCGTGTTCCCCGTCATGGTAGGGCACCTCGGTGGACGAATCATTAAAAATGGTCTGCAAGGCGCTGAACCGTTGACCGTCCTCCTCCGCTTTCAGATCCTCGCTCTGGTGGCCGTCAGAAAAGCGATGGACTACATGTTCTCGCAGTATGAACTCGGCTTCCTGGACGACGTCATCCCGGAGAAGGACAAGAAGAAGAAAGAGGACGAGAAGAAGAAGAAGAAAAAGCGAGGCAGCCTAGACAGCGAGGCTGAAGACGTAAGCGCTCGCGTTGTACATTGCAGACCACGTCCGTCCCCAGCCCCGCCCCCGGCCCCGCCCCCGACCACCTCTCACTTCCCTTATCAATATCTAGCTCTCGATTGGATAATGCAGCGAATGCTTTATTTATATGGTCTTTAGCCTCGGGCAAAGAAGGGATCTTTGACCTTGTGATTCCGCAGATTCTCCTCGTAGAGAAGATAAACATCGGGGGGATTTGGGTTTGACTGACAGAGGGGGAAAGACTGCTGCTGTATGAGATGGTTTTATAGATTTCATAATCCCCGTAAAGAAGTTCTGATGTCTTCAAGGCGATTATAAAGTAATTGGATTATCCGCATTGTTACAGTTTTAAGCCTTTGAGCACAGAAGCTGGAAGTCGAAGGTCTTGATGGGTCCACTTGGTTTTATGTAGTAAACCTCCCAGATAGATTTTGTCCTCGGGTCAGTTTGGATCGGGTCACTTTTTTGTCTTTATGAATTCGCTCGTGGACGATGCACCTTTTTCTTTTTTTCCCGGTGATTTAATTTCAGATGGAATGACGACTTGTTTGTGGGAGCCGGCCCGGATCAGTGAACGTTTTATAGTTGCAGTGAGTGATGTATTTGTAAAATGCCATCGGCCATCATCCTGACATGAGTGGATCAAATCAGATTTAAGCTCCTGCCCTTTGATTCTCACGGACCAGCGGAAAAGGTTCATCACGTATCTGATTTTCATCTGCAACCAGAAAATCTCTGTTCCGTGTTTCCAGGGGTTTCGGTGCAGATGTGTGTGCTGATGATGCTCCCGTCTCAGGCCCTGTGTGTGTGTGCTCTGCTCTCTCCGACAGTCCGACTATCCTTACAGTGAAAAAGTTCCCAACATTAAAATCCCCATGGACACGATGGAGCAGGAGCCTTTCTTAGGCGATAAGGCCTGTGACAGTGAGTAGACCGGGGGGGGGGGGGGGAGGGCGTAGTCGGTTGCACCACCGATGTGACGGAGCGCTCTGGGTTGGTGGGTGATGCACGCATGACACTCTAATAACCGCCGTTATAGACGCGGGTGGGGAAGCGGCTCGGCGCCTCGTTCTTCGCCAACCGCACGACCTCCTTTTCCTTCTTTGCCTCTCTTTTACCTTCAAAAATAACAACGCTTCTTCTCCTCTTGAGCTTTTCCTTCTTGGTTTGTGGCGTTTTCTTATTCCTTTCCCCGTTTTCATACTTTGTTTCGACGACGTTCAAGCGTCATAATGAAAGCAGCAGCACGCGTCGCCTTTAGGCCAAAGTTCACCCCACAAACGGAGACGTTATTCATTGCATGAATCATAAAGTCCTCGACTCTTAAGGAGACGATGTGGCCGGCGTCCGTTGGAAAATCGACGCTCGTGACATCGGCCGCGCCGCATCGCTAACCGCTGTCTCTCCGTTGTTCCTCCACAGGACAGAAGTCCCCATCGTTGCTCGAACGACACACATCGTGCTGATCGCTACTACCAAGACAGCTGCTCGTCCAGGTGGGAAGGGACAGGGACACACAGACATATGTTTACACGCATGTACATTATACGTATGTACGGTTTCCTCTTTTTCGTCCGTTCATCGACGACCGTCAAACGATGCAAATGCCAGACGGCGAGCTAACCAGCCATCGCAGAACGCCAGCCTGACCTTTAAAGGTCTGATTTAACTTCTTCTCCCTTCTCCGTCTCGTCTCACTGACGACGATAGACGTCATCAGCTGATGGTTCTCTCTCTCTGTCTTTAGTAGAATAAAGTAAACTAATCGATCACATTCTAGCGGGATGGATTTTGATTGGCTGTCGGGGCTTCTATGCCTCATCACATCTGTGTGAAAGGGATCTCGACTACATTACAGCGGTACAGATGTGGCGGACGGCGTGGAGCACGAACCCGCGGCTGGTCCTTGAGTTTGACGTTAGCCACGCCCCCCCCCCCCCCCCCCCCCCCCCCCGTCCCCCCCGTCTGTTTCAGCCTGGAGATGAGTCCGCTCAGGTCCGTCCCGCAGATCAGGATCGACATGGACCCCGACGACAACGACGACAACTCCTTCTACTGGAGGAGCCGGGGATCCGAGACGTCTCTGTAGAGCCGCGCGAGGCGACAAAATACCGTCTTTAACTCTCTGAATATGTCACAAGGAAAAGAAACACAACACGGAGTCACGTTTCTTATAATCGGGCTGTTTCTCCTCACGCTGTGGTCTCTTCCTCACAGGCAAACCGTCTCTCATCTACACGCCTCACTGCTCCTTTTGTTTTCATTCTTTGCATCATGAACATGTAAACAAATATCGTCCGTGCTTTTTTTTTTTATATAGGGTGATTTACTTAAATAACATTTTCCTGTAGCAGGAATCTTTTTTTTTCTTTAGCTCTACCTCTCGTTTTAGATTAAAAGCTTGTTGTGAACAAATGCAGGATGTTGATTTTCGTTTTTTTAAAAAATATTTTCTCTCTGTTCTGCGGTGGAGTCGATTCAAAGGATTCACTGTGTTGTAGCTTGTCAATAGAACGTGTGAGATTAGATTATTTAAAGTTAATTAATAATTAATTAATCACAAATATTTGTATATGCAGATGAGGTAAATATTTTTATTATCATGTTTTGATGCAGCTTTGATTGATTCATCTTCTCTTTCTTTTACGTTTGTTCACTTCAAAGCTTTTGCTACTCTTTTAAATTAAATCGTTTTTTTTAAATGATTATTTTGTGTGTTCGTTGGTAAAAAAAAAAAAAGTTGTCCTTTTGGTAGAAAAGAGCTAAACGATATTTAATCCTCAGATTATCCTCAGCCAAATTTAGACTAACTATGAAATGCTTTTGGAATAATGGCTTGTGCTGCACAAACTACTTAACCTAAGTGGCTTATAAGAAAACATGATTATGGTGACGGAGGAATTATGAGCAGGGAATCAAATCGGAGTTTCTCTTTGGAGTCTGATGGTGGCATCACGTTTCATTCATATTATTTAAAGGTCTACATTCTTCACCCTGATTCAAGGAATGAACACTGATACTTTTTGTTTTTGATTAACTTTTTGGGACTTTTTAGAAACAGGTGAAATGGTTTTTTAGGATTTTAGGATTTATATTTTTCAAATAAAATGTATATTGGAAAATAAACAGAGTTCTCAAACAGCAGTTGCAATTCTTTGGATGAACGTTTTCATGTTGTCTGATGCGGACTGTTGGAACCCAAATCATCTTTAGTAAGATTTTAAATGTCACCGTGTCGGTTTTGTAAACTGCAAAATACTTTGATGCAGTATCAGTCGGTCGATTTATTTTTCAATAAATTGCAATTATTAAAGTAAAAACGAATAAAACTAATCTGTTAAATCTCTTCATTTTGAGGAGTTTTGTTTCATAATGAATAAATATATGGATTCTGTTTGTCGGATAAAACAAGATATTCTAACTTCAGCTGTGTTTTCTGACATTTTTTACGGTTCAAAAGATTGTTTAACCTAAAATGTAATCAATATTTCCAACCCCAAGTCCGCATTTTGACAGTAACTCTATTATTAACTCTATTATTAACGTATTAAGATTTCAGATATTACACTTCTCCTTCAGAACAAGTGATCAGTTTGTGAGAATCCGTAAATAATCAACAAATTAATCCAAATCAGTTTATTGATATTCAGCGGTGAAAAGAAACAGGTACTTAATAATAATAATAATAATACATATATATGAATACATATATATGTAATGTTATATGTATTTAATCGCATTGAAGAACATGATCTGTGATTTAAGGGACTTCTTCTCAGAGCGTTGCAGTGATTTCCGGTCGAGTGGCGCCCTCCTGTGGCGCTGCGGCCACATCACAGCGGCGCTCATTTTTAAACATTATTTTAATTAAAGTAAACACAGAACGAGCTGCTAATGAGGTACTTCCGGTTGTTGTGGCCGTTTATTCCTCTGCTCTTAATCCTCCATCGATCAGATATTAATCCGCAAAGACGTAACAAATCAAAGTTGTTATATTATATCGTGTACATTATGCTGTCTATGTAATGTACAGACTGAATGAGTGTAGGTGGATTTGTTAGAGCTGTTTCTCTGCGCCTCTTACGAGCTTTCCAGTTAAATAGCTGATGAACTCAGAAAGTTACAAAATAAAACTAAAAAATCTGATTTTGTCCCAAAACGAATGACCTGAATACAGAAACACATCATAGGGATTATTGTTATAATAATGGAGCAGCAGAAAGCCTTCAGCCGCCTGCGAGTTTCTGACTAAATTGAAAAATTGTTACCAGATACTGCATTTCATCAGTTCATCAAACAACCAAATGTACTCACTAGTTCTTAATTATACTCATTAATTCTGTTCACTGAGGTGATCACCTGAAATAATGAATAAAAAAATCACAAAATGTCAAACGTTTGATTTTCCTTTAGATTTTGCTGTAATAAATAAATAGTTTATAACTTTCAGATGTTTGAATGAAGAACTCTTTGGAACCTGGATGTTTCATGGTCATAAACACAAACTCAAGCATTTAACCTCACGAGCAACAGATAGAAAAGAACAACTGAGAACAAAATGAGAGTAAAATCTACGAGGGTGACTTCACATTGAATGTGTGTTTCTTTTGACATGACACATCTTTTCATGTGCAGGATTTCAATGTAATGCAGACGTCGACACATGGGCAACACACACGCACACACACACACACACACACAGCTATGACAACGCAGCGTGTGTGTCAGCGTATTCTCAGTCACCGTGTGAGTGAAATGCTTTCTGGGTAATTTTTCAACACAGCGAGCTTCATTAACCGCTGACTGACAACAGTCGTCTTATCGCACTGAAAAAGGATGAAGCGATATTTAACGAGGCGATATTAGCGAGGCCTCCTCACATCTCGTTCATTTTGCACTTTGGCGCGTGGAGCAGAGAGGGTGAGCCGGGAACCGCAAGGTTGGCGGTTCCAAACCCCAGCTGCTCCATGTCCCATGTCAAAGAGTCCCTGAGCAAGACACCTAACCCCTAATTGCTCCCCAGGCTAAAAGGTAACAACCATGGGTTAAAGATGCAATGTGAGTGGCTTTGGTATTTAACACTGGGCAGATTTATTTTTGACACTTATTCAGAGATAAATCGTTAAACTCTTGACGTTGAGTGTTGATTTAACACTGACGCGATTGGGACAAATAAGTCAATTTAACTCTGTGCACAAATGTGCTGTGTAGGAGGTTAGTGATCCAATCCGCATTGGTTTTATTGATTTTACTTCCCCGCTGGGTTCATATTTCTCATGTGGAAGGAGTGGAAGTAACGGGGCGGGAGACGTTGTGCTTCGTGCGTTGTGTTGTTTTACTCCCGTTGCTCTGCTTTGCTTTCCTGTTCCTTAAACCGCCGCCTGATCCCAGTGTCCCGCGCTGTTTGTGCTAATGCCAAATCAAAACTCTTCTTCCCAACGCGTGAATGCCAGAAACGAGTTGATTACCGCCGAAAATAAAACGCCGTCCTCATTTTTAACCATTGTGGGCATTTTAGAGCAGAAAGAGCTGAACCTCATGGTTTGCAGATTGAAGGGAATTTTATTCACCAAATGTTGGTTCATCTTTAAAAACCATTAAAGGAAAAATGATTACGCAATCGATCAGTCATCACCGCACGCACAGAAACAAGCAAACCTTTAATGTCATGTCCTTTCCTCTACAGAGTCCCAGATTTAAACAGCAGATCAGAGCCTCGGCCAAACACAACACAACAAATTGATTTAAGTTTGATTTTTAAAAGGTTATAAATGTCCAACGTTTGGCTCTCTGTGAAAAACTGAACCCGAGCCAACGCTCTCCTCCGGATGTGGAGCTTCTGGAAGACGTCTCAAGTGCCGCGCGCGTGGAAGCGTTCGGCGGGCCATTTAACGCCCCCGCCCCCCGCCTTTGGAAACCAATGTGCGTCCGCTCACACGGGAAGTGCTTCCTGCCGTGAAGCTGCTTCCAATTCCTGCCTGCGACGCATAATGGATTTCCTCTGAATGCTTTCGCTGCTGATTCCCTCAAACTACAGTGGAGCGTTTTTTGGGGGGGTTTGGGAAAGGCCGCGCGTTCCCGCCGTTGTTGGCATCCTCGCTGCGCGCACGCGCCTCGCCCGTCGCGCCAGATGTAGAAGAAGATTGAAGATTCTCAATTTCGTGCCCGTCGCACACGCCGGAGAAACGGAGTTCACTCGGCGGCGATGGATTCCGTCCCCCTGCCTCGGGCCGGCGACAAAGCCGAGAGGTCACCTCCAGTTCTCCCGCTCCTGCTCTGCAGCACCAATGAGCTACTCGCCCAAGGAAGAGACTTTCATCACGTTCTGTCAAATCAAAAGGCGTCAAACACACCGTCACTATGAATATATTTAAATATATATCCTCAAAGGAACGGCGCGAGAGAAGGGGCATAATTAACCGTCTGTTCTTTGGATATTTGGAACTAACTGAGAAAAGACGTGTTCATATTCTTATTACAATAAGCGTCCATGTGTTTATATGTACGTCTTCTGGTATTTACGTCACTTTGTCTGGATTTAAGTGATATTCTCAAGTTCGATGAGGACAAATATTTATCGGTTCATTTGTAAAACTTCTAAAAGTCAGTACGATGTAATGTATCTGACTATAAGGCAGCATGTGTTAAAACTGCTTAAACACGAAGGAAAAGAGACAAAAGTAAATTCAGCAGGAGATGAACAGCGTTCTGGTTTAATTGAGCGTTTTGAGAGTAGATCATCCCAGCGTCTTATAAAGGAATGAATCTTTTTAATCTCCTCCATTTCCTTCTTTGGCTGAATACAAACTTCACAAATGAAGACACGTGTTTTTTATTTGCTCTCATATGTTTGGTCAACCATCCGCAGTCAGCAGTCTGATGGGCGATCAATGGGAACGCCGCGTGCAGCCCAGCTGGACTATCGGACTCCGCCGTGGACTCGTGCCATGTTTTATTTGAGCTGCAACGTGACGAAGACGTTGATGAATAATCCTCCGCTGGGGATGAAAGGTGAGAGAACATATTGCAGCGGGTGGGAGGTCCCGGGGGGGGGGGGGGGGGGACCCAGAAGCAGTTCTCACTGATTAGTGAGGCCCCTCTGTTTTCCCACAATGATATTTCCATTTCAAAAGCTCCCCGCCGGACTGAAAGGATGAATCGGCGGATTTAATGGATGCTCAGACGGCTCAGGAGCGCCGCGCACCTCCGCGGGTTCCCCCCCCCCCCCCCCCCGGCTTCTGATGCACGCCGTGTCGGTGTTATCAGATGGAGACTGTACTTCAAACAAGCAAACAAGCTACTTAGAGGCCTGTGGTGGCCATTATATCCACAATGGCAATGGAGTTATTTTGAGTTTCTACCTTTCATTAAAGGAAAATGCACTCGATGGCTCCATTTTCTGTCTCTACAGCCACAGGAAAGCCTTCGGGATGGACGCAC